GGATAATTATAATAAGTACTGTATATATGCATGCTCTTGTTGCTCGAGAAAAGGTACAAAACAATAACTTCAAATCAGCTCAAATATTTGCAACGCGTGCTGATGTGATGTAAGTTGTGCGGGATTCATCATGAAGAATGTAGATCCAAAACGTTATTTTTATAGTCACACATCAAATCAGGACTATCACAAAGCATAGCTTCAAAATGTTGTACTATGTATACATGTGGTTCACGTTCTCCACATTTTGATATATTCAATAAAATTAAATGCTGTAGTTTTTTTTTCATTTAAACCAACGCATTCCTGAGAAAGGGCATTGTTCTCAGAAGCGTACGAGTTTTGTTTGATATTGGTGCCTCATATAAGGAAAAAGAAAGGTTAAAAACCACAATTAACCTGCTGGATGGTGTTCCCAAACCCACGGTCTGCATGCAGGCTGCATGGTGATGCCAGTCTGCAAAAATGTTTTGCCAGTCTGCAGGAAATCTACTCAACATAATGAATCTATCAAAGGTAGCAATGAAGTCTGTTATCTTTGTCTTAAATTATATAAATGCAATAATGCTGGCAGTTGAAATCATCTGATGAAAAATTACTGTTGGTTTTTCTCTTATATGAACAATTTAGACAAATCTTCACGTGTTGCAATAAATTATTTTAATTTTCTACTCTGAGAAGCCCTTCATCAATCTTCAAACCTACCTTATTATTTCTTCTTTCTTTGAAGACATTACATTATATATAGCTGCTTCAAGGGTTCTTGAATTGATTCCTTGCTAAAAAGCCAGACACTTTCAGAATACCTTTCATATAATTTTTAAAACAAAACTTGTTTGATTCCGCAAAAACTTCATGAAAAATTGCCGATCGACAGAAAATGTCATGGGAATTTGCCTGTCCCTGGGCCCCAAAAAAAAGGGGAGCGCCGTGCTGGAATATCCCCATGATGCTGATCCGAGCGCCCTCAAATGAATGGACTCACATTGATTTGAGGAGCACATCAGGGTCGTATATTTGAAACACGTTATTGAAGGGTGATTTCCGTGGAGGGCTGCAGCAGCTAGTAGACGGGTTAAACTTCAATTTCATTTGCAGCACAATGGGGTCTCAATCGTTGCGTTTCCCGCGCAGTACCCTCTTATTATTCTCACCCGAACAGTATATATATTGATCGTTCATCCCAGAAATTAAGTGCGTGAAGGGCGTGGAATTGAGGGAAACAAGGAGCGGCAACCGGGCGCCATTAAAGTGGCTACTCTGCGACCGGAGTGAGATTGATTCGACCCCTTTTGATTGAGGCGCCGCGGCGGCAAAAGGAAGGGCGACGATAAAGCTAGAGAATCTCCCACCTTGATGCTCGGGAGGTTCGCCATTAATGTGAGCAGCAAATGGATGACGTCACGGAATTTGACGCAGCTTCTGTTTATATATGCTGCCCTTCTCCCTGAAATAATCACCATCATTCCCAATCAGGGCGAGGAATATTGAGTTGAGTTGTTATTCCACTGTAATTTGAAGGGTGTTTCCAAGAGCAAGCATTATTAACAGCAGGTCAGGGTGCCCAAGATCCAGCCCGTGGAGCATTCCTTATTTCCAGCCCCTGACATCAGTCAGCCCAAAAAAATAAGCCACCACATCCAGGATTTTAATTATTTAGACCTATGTTGTACAGATCAATGCCAACTCCTGAATAAAAATTTCAATATATTCTGAGAAATAAATTGCACACTCCTTTGTTTTGTCACTAATACTGTACTTAATTAAGATTATCAATATAAAAATGAATACAGTGCTGGTACCTTGCACTATAAATGTAATTTGTTCCAGAGAGCTACATTTTTAGTGCAATATGTTTGTATAATGCAAGTCACAATTTCCCATAGACTTGTTTGGAAAATCATAAATCATTTAATTCATTCCAAGCAACAAGAAAAAAAAACATTTTTAAAAGGAAAATAAAAGTTCTGTACTGTTTTTGTGTGACCATTGTCACATGCAATGACAGTTATTTGACCATCATTGCACGTGCCACAAGGGTCACAAAAATGTCTGTGTTCTGAGACCATTATTGTCTCAGAACACAGAAATGTTCTCATTTGACAACATTCAAATGACCATTGTCACATGTGACAAATGCCACCCAAATTTCTGTGTTCTGAGACAATTGTGTCAGAACACAGAATTTTATTTTACTACAAACAAAAAACCATGTTTGTAGTACAAAATGCGTACTACAAGTAAGGGTGAATCAATTTTAGAACATTGTTTTTAAAACATTGTCCAGCTGTTTTTAAAACATGAGTGTTGTTTCCTATGTCTATATCATAAATCTTGCCATCAGAAAATATGTTAGCAAAAGCAAGAAATCCAACATTAATTTGACTAATTTTGAGACATGGGAGCTGGCATTGAAAAAATTCAGAATTGGTAAATTCTTCTTAACCCCGCCACCCCCTGATGTTTTAAACATAATGAAACATAATTTGTCATTGTGGGCCGCGAAGACTCATATTCTCCTTGCCATGTGAACCGCCGCCACTTCCGAGTTATTGAGCACCACTGATCTACAGCTTCATATACTGTATACGGTATTAGGGGGCTACAGAATACCTATCACACTGTCATGGTACAACGACGGAAGTCGGAACACCCGCAGCAAACCTTGCCTCCATGCAGGAATCAGTCAGCATAATTTTCCTTCCCTCACAAATCTTGTACCACAGCATGTCCATCAGCGTGACTTTACTGCAATGGTTTATGAACGCCATTATCGTGACTCGTCTCTGAAAGCACGTGACTGTGAGGATTGAAAATAAAATAAATAAAACATGATTCAAATACGCCGTAATTTTCCAAGAAAATTGCCCTTCACCTCGAATTCTCCCGATTTCGGTCTGTTTTTACAATTTCGGCGTCTTTTTTAAATATTAATTGTCAAGAAAAAAAGATCAGATATAAACAAATGACCCATTTCATTCTACAGTAATTGAAATGAACAAGCCATTGTCAATCATGCATTCCATCAGTTTATTTCACCAATGATATATTTATTCTGGGATGAGGATGATGCGTCACGTACGGAAACAATTGGAAGCCTGCTTCTCATTGATTACAGCTTATTATTCCATCCATATCATGCTACCTACAATTAAGAAACAGTCAGTCACATTTTGGATCAGAAATTGCTGACTGTCCTGCTTTAGTCAGAAAATTTATATACCCAGATGTTCTATACCAAAAGTTCCTCAAAAGCTTTTTATACTGGGACTGGAAAATTTAATATAATGATATTATTTTGACATGCCCTCTATAATGGCTTTCTGTCAGCAGGACTTGCGGGGCAGGGTAAGTGTGTTAAACTGCAAAAAAGTTATTGTATTCGTAACAAGATTTTACATCATCATCATTCATCCATGCCTGCAGCATCACAGCAATAATATGACCCAGCAATAAAACCATCACAAATCTGAATGCAATAAAAAATTTAATGAATACCTTTGAACCTTAAAACTCATATCTCATCCGTAAGTCAAATACCTCCCAGCAATGTCAATTTTTTCAAGTCCCTGTCTAAATTCCGTTAAAAACAAAGCATAAATACTTCCTCTAATCAAAGACCTCAAATCTCCCTGAAAAAAACTTCAGCAAATTTAAATTTCCATAACTCAAATTTTCTGGATTCCTTTTTGCTATACATTTCAGTACAGTATTATCTTATTGACTTTTGGAAGAGAATGGCAATGAAAATGTAACAATGTGTTCTGAAAGGAAGTGAGAATATAATTGGGCAAATGAAACCTTGCCTCCAAGCTCAGCATCCTGTCAAGTCATTCAACAAGCAGCAATGTCAGGCCCAGAATTACACTTACATTTCCCGCAATTCTTCTTATTGCTCTTTAAGAAAAAAACTTGTTTCCCCAACTCCAAACCTCCCAAAATGTTTTACTGGCCCCTTTGATATGTTCTTCGAGTTATTTGGCTGCTGCATGAATGACCAAATCATGCAACTGAATGAACATGTCAAGCTGGTATACCTGAACAAACAAAACAAACAACTGAATAAAATAATGAAAAAATTCGAACTAGTGAAGATGTAAGAGAAAACATCATTAAAAACCTGTGACACAAACAGCCCACTCATATTCTCCATCTATATAACTTAAAACCTTAAACCAACTTGCCTCGTCACCAAACGTACTTAACTCATCCATGATGGAGTAAATGAATTAACTATATATCTAACTTGTGACAAACTGAATTCATTTAACTTTAGTACAGAACTGACTTGCCTACAACATCCAACTGAATTATCTTATCCAAGGGTTGACTCGTAAGTTTTGAGACTAAGAAATAGATCCAACAGATTTTCAGCAGTACCTTTTTTTTACTTGCTTAGCCCCATCATTGAACAACAATTCAGTGCTGTTCAACATTCTCTCTACAGAATCTTGGCACTTCCGTTTTGATCATTGGATTTAGTGAATGAAAAATGCATTGAAATCGGCAGAGACAATGTTGAACAGCACTAAAGCGTAGCCAAATGATGGGGCCATGTGGGTAAAAACACTTTAAAAAATTGAATCGTTAAAACTCTGTTGGATCTATTTCAAAAAGTGTCAAAAATTATGAATCAACCCTCATACATGTAGTTTCAAGTTTTGACCCATCATACATATAATCCAAACAGAAATCTGAATTCCTCGACCAATGATCATGCCTCACATGTGGGTTGATCAATATAAATATAGAAGCACTGCACAAGAACCTTTAACATGTCATTCATACATTCATTCTTCCATATCAAGCATTATGAGATACCTTTAGCACTCTTCGCTAAAAAAAATGCTCACGAATTAACGAAGCATCCAAGCAAATTTCTCTTACCGTCGAGCAGAAGGATTTGCTGGAAGCAGTTCCATCAACTTTTACAATGTCGGTTGAAAATCTAAGCTGCATATAACCGTGCAAAATGAAGGAACTGAATAACGATCGATGGATTTATTTTGATTTTTGTAAGAAGAGGTACATTTTAATCTCCAAGGATGACCCTTCAGACAGGAGTTGAACATGTCAATCAAACCGGCAATGAACACTCGCATACAACGTCTAGCAAAGCATTTTCACCGCCCATCTCGCCGCTGGGTTAGAGCAGAAAGGCAGACATAATAACGCCGAGTACGAATAGCGGCAGGAAATACGCGTGATGACGAGAAGGGGAGTGCGTGCATGCGTGCCAACTTCCGCTGCGCAAATTTCTTTTGTTCATCGTTCTCCATACCACTAAAGCCACGAAAAAAAGAAAAAGTAATCCGGAGAATGCCATTTCTGAGTCGCTTCGCTATCCTCGGGACGTCCTCCGCGCTAAAATCCTTTCTTCCCCGTTCACAGGATCAGTTTCGGAAAAAGGGGGTGCCGAAAAATCCGCGTCCCTCGTTAAGAAAAACAAAAAGAATACATCCGCAGCTGCTCACATACACCACAACAAACACTCCGTCGTCGCCACAAAAAATGCATTATTCTTCCGCGACAGAGAGCCTAGTTCAAGCTTCACGGCGGGACAAGTTTCGCGCTGACCACACTCGCACAGAACAACGATCGTCGGACCAGTCATGGATCGAGAAAACGAACGTGAACACGAATATAGTCTGGATGTGTCGAACCACTAACAACGGCTGCGAGAGTCAGCTTTTCAGTCTGCTTGCTTCCCGGGACCACTTGGATGTTGATCTGATGCCTGAGATTCTATCCCACTACACAAATGAAAGCGGAAAAATATGATGCAATTTTTTTTTATCAGCACACAGCAAAACTGTCCATTACTGGTGCTCAAAAATAAAATTACATGTAATCGAAAAAAATGAACCTGTTCTCTACAAATTTTTCTGTGAAGGTAAAGATTATAATGATAATAGGAAACAGTACGATTTTTATGTTTGAGGATAATAGTATAATTTAGCTACAAAAAAAGTTCCACGAACCTGACCGAAAATTCGCAATAAAAAAAGAATTCGATCTAATGAGATCCATGATTTTTTGAGCATGTAGGGCTGTGTTTTGTGGGGAACAGGTTCTATAGATGCCTCAAGTACTTCCACAACAGATTTGTGAAGATTATCCCCCACTTCCTCTGATGGAACATCATTAGAAAAAATTCAAACTGTGACAGGGACCTTCCCTTTCCTACATTTAAAAAAATTATTCTGATCTTAATGCAGTATAAGCAGAAACAAACAAAAATACATGCGAAAGAAGAGCATTTATTCATCATGAACTGTGTTTTCCCTGAAACAGAGTAGAATCCTTCCAAACATGATGGTCATTTTAAGATAAGCCATTTTAAGTCCTAAAATAAAACAAACTAAATTCTTGATTCAAGCTTCATTCTTCCTGTAATGCTAAATTTTCTGTACAAAAAGATTAGCACTTATATGTTTTAATTTTTTTAATTCGGCAAAATTTGGGTTTTCCATATTGAGCTAAATAATAAAAATGTATCTCGCCCATACGTACATAATGAAGGCAAAAAATTCGTTATTCTGAGATAATAGAGGAAAACTAATTCACCTATCACGAAATTTTCACGCCAATGTATACATGCATGAAGAAACTGCCGAGACCAAGAAACAAATTCGTTCCAATGAAAACTTCGCCATAATTAAATTTTTCGTAAAGGAATTTTCGTTCATTTTAAAAAGGAAACCCAAATCCAATTTGTGAAAAGACAATCGCGAGAGATGATAGAAATTCACAAACCTGCTCACGCCTGTCGGATGTAGATGCAACTCAGCCTCCTCCAGCTTCTCGTGCAATTCCCCACTGAGTCCTAAGCATGAATCAATCTTTCATCATCGAATCTCACCATACGCCTACTTCTCACTAACAGCGCAACTATGGAGCTACTGTGCGCACAAAAACAAAGTCTACAGGCACCTACTAATGCTTAGAGTGCTTAAGCACAAACGGGTTTAAAGACGAAAATAGAAAGAGGAAGAAGATAAAAAACGGAGTTGATTAAATTTTCGGGGTTAAAAAGGGGGTTAGAGGTGGTCAGTCTTAGTTACCATGCAGAAGCTAAATAGTGCGTTGGGGCCAACATGCAGTCTTGAACGCTTGGCCACAGCAGCGTCAGTACGTGGCACAAAAATATGGCGATAAGGCACAACATTTTCGTGCCTTCGGACCAGATCGCATCAAGGTCCTCGCTTCCACCTCATTATGGAAGAAGATGTTCACTGAATACAAAGCTTCAAAACGGCTCAAACAATTAATTTCCAAACTTCAAAAAAAAATTAGCATTTACAACTTTTAAACGCATCACGAGCAATTATCTCATTAAAAAAATTTTAACGAGAAATGATGCACATCACGAGTACAACATATCACACAACTGAATTAACCCTTGCTTTTTATTAAGGAGTTGAATATAAGTTGAGCAATTGAACAGAAAAAAATGCGTCATCAAAGAGCGTGTAAGGCAACCCAGATGAAGCTGTCCGACAAATTACAATACCGCACTTTAGTGCTTAGCAAAATCCCCAATACAGTACATGATACGACACTAAATATAGGGTGTTTAACAAAGCTACTTTCAAATGGCAACAAGTTCACTCAACAAAAAATTGTCTACCATCGAAAAAGTAAATTTTCGAGTCAGTTCTTCCTCAGAGTGATGAAGAAATGTTGTGAGTAAATGTCTGGCAGCCTTAAATGCATTTTCATTTGAAAAAAATCAGATACGTTCCATTTACTTCTGAGTTTGTCTTGTGAGTGTAAGGGAATTTTTACACTGCTAAACAATCGGATTGTTTACCTGGAGTGATTGAACAATTGCTAACTTCACAGGAATCTTTTGATAATTTCTCGAAATATTAATCACCGCTTTTGATGCTTTTCTGTCTGTGAGCGTTTCACCTCAGAGTTTAAAATTTATAAACAAATCTTGTACCACGAAAGGAAATTTCAGACAAAATACCCACTATCCAGTTAAGGACGTAATATGAATCAAAATCAATGCTCCGATTCGACAATCTTTTTGATACGAAACACGCTTTCGCACACATGATTTGCAAGCTAAGCATTTCGATATAATCCAGTGTAAAATGAACACGAGTCCCTATAAAAACAAATCTACCAAATCACCAACGCTTCTGCGGGAATATAAACGGTCATGCGAATTAGAACGAAATGAATAAAAGTTTCTTTTCTTAGTTTCTAATGGCAAGCAACGAGCAAAAGTTCATGGAAGAACAAAATGCCAATATTAATTTTTGGTTTTTCTTCCACAACTGAACGAACCTCCGTGTTGATCAAAAGCGTCGTCTTCCGCTCCCATCACTCCTGACTCGCGGGTTTCTTCGCTTCCATGACCACTTCCTTCCTCTACAGCTGCACGTTTCGTTTCCGCCGAAAACAGTGAAGAAAAAATTAGGATTAGGTCCATGTAAGTTTTCAGACACAATACAATTTCACGGGTTGAAGAGCTCCATGCAAAAAAACCCAAGCAACTAGAAACACCGCAAAAACAAGCCCTCCCGGCCCATGCAGATAATCCAGTGGATTCCCAAAATCCTCAGCATACATTAAGAGAAAAGCGTCGAAACATGCGTGCGAAATTGTGTGAACTGATCTGTCGCCAGTAAAAACGGGATTGCGTGTCGCTGTGAGTGTGTGTGTGTTTAACTCAACAAATGTCTCGTGACCGGATGACGTGTCACCACCAACAGGAACCAAATCGCGCAGGAAAAATAAATGTGATCCCGACCGACGTCATCAAGAAGAACAAAAAGCCCATATCAAAACGGAAACGAGATCAGGAAACGAAAGCAGCAAAAACCGAGGAACATTGTGCGCGACAAGAAAAAATGCCTTTGGAAAAAAATATAATTGAGAACAAATTCGGAAACCAGGACACAGTGCAGGCGTGATTCCGCAAATCAACTCGTCAGCGTTAACCCTACTCTGGAAACACCTGTAAACCATCATCAGGGAAAGTGTACGGAAACTCTCGTTGCCGAGCGGCTATAAATGTGCGGTACGAGAAGATGAACAGAAGTTCCAAACGAGTCTCAGCAAGAAACAAAACTCTTCCGTGTTGAAACAAAAGCTCGAATACCATGGTGGTGTGCTGCTGAAATTGAGGGAGGACAAAAAACCGCAAAGACAATATTCGAAGAAATATAATAAATCGAATCGGGGTTGCCAATGGAATTAAATTTCATCAGCACCTGTCCCTCTGCTGGCATCGCCAACGCTGCCGCAATAGCAGTCCTCCGAGTGCGACGTCGGCGGACTCGGAGACTGCGTCGGTGTTCCCAACGCTGACGGCGCCTTTGGCTGAATCGGCTCAACATCTGTTTTCCCGTCAGCCTGCGACCAAGTGTCGAGGGCACCAGACAAAAGCCCAGCGTCCGATTGGTCCTGTGATATCCCGCGAGTCACAGTCGCTGACAAGGAACCCTGCAACGTGCCGTGGCCCGAACTCGACCCGATCTGCAACGGATCGGATGAAACGGACGTCTCTGGCATGATCCCAAGCAGCTCCATGCTCAACCCGAAGTCCTTTTCCGCAGGCTCCAAGTTCAGCGTCTCCGTGCTCGACACCAGGGTCCCTGAAGCAGCACTCATGAGACTCGACGACATCATGGACTCAGAATCAGTGTGGTACGTGGCGAAAGTGTGGGAAGACGCGTGGTCCAACGATTCCATGCTCACTGCGGCGTTTTCCGCGGACAAAAACCCTTCACCGTCCTGCCTTGATCCCCAGCCATCACCAGAGTCCAAAGACACACCCAAACCTTCTCTACTCCGCAAACTGGCGGCATCGACAAAACTCATCATCTCTTCCTCGTTCTTGTCTGCATGCTCCTGTTCGTCCCAATCAGGCTCCACCTGCAGGACTTCACTGTCAGTTGATCGCAACATGGCGCCCAGCTCTGGAAGACCGCAGGGTCCACCTGGAGCTTCTACACTGCCCGCATCTTTGCTCAACTTCGCAGCCCTCGCAGCAGGGTGCTCAGAAATAGTCTCAAAGCTTTCAGACTCGGAAATCTGACTCTCCTGACCTTCTTCAATCTCTGACAGACCACCAGGATCTTGACTCTGAGAAACAAGAGGTTCAACTGTTTCCGTTTCCCTGATGTGCTGCTCTAAACGTTCAAATTCCCGCAAAGATGCCCCGGAGCCAGATGACATGTCATCCCGCAATCCACTTCGGAGTCGACCATTTGAAGACTCTTGCGAACTGGACCCTGGACGAGTCTCGCACCTGTCAAACTCGTGCAGAGAATTCCCAGAACTGTCGTCGTGTTCACCAGATTTGGAGAAGAATTTCCGGCCTGCAAGGACATCGTAGTCTGGAGTGCTGTTCATGCTGTCTTTGCTCTTCTCGAAAGAATCCCGACAGTATTCTGGGTCTTCTTCCTGTATGTCTTCAAGCGGTGGCGGCTGACTCACTGGCTCCAGTAGTTCATATTCCACTCTATGGCCCAAATTCGGGTCAACCAGTTGGGCTTCTATCCAGTGTCGGCTGGACATAGGAACTGCTTCATCCTCTTGATCTTCACTCAGTTCATCGGGGCTGCCTTGAGCTCGTTCAAACGACATCTCGTACTTGTACCCGAAGTCTGCAGAACCTCCATCATCAACAGACATTTCTCCAGAGCACAGCTCTTCGCCGAGAACATCTTCATTGACAGGATCCAGGTCAGAGCGCAGACTGAGACTGCCATTGGCAGACTGCTCATTGGCCTCCAGCAACACGTCTGGAATCTGAGCAGCAGGGGAGGCAGAAAGGCTGCAAAGTTGAGAATCGATATCCATGCTGCCTTGAACAGAAAGGACTGATCTGGGCGGCTCGGGACTCAATGGTCGCTCAACAATGTCCGGCAGTGACAGCACATCGCTGCTGCTCTGCGCCAAATGAAACAACTCCGCTTCACTCCTGTCTTCCGACAACTGCAAATAATACGTTCTGCTTTCCGACGCAGGCCTAGGGCCAGGCAAACTGTAGTCTCGACGCAGACCCGGGCCTCGGTCTCCTTCTAGAGCTTGTAATGAGGTCAGTTGACGAGTCACAGCTTCTTCAGTAGACTCTGGAAGTGAGGCTGATGCCCTGAGAAAGGCCCTGGGCCTCGTCAGTTCGTCTAGCTCTAGCCCTGCGAATTCACCTACTCTCTCCCTGCGGTCAGGGGAATTGCTATCACTGAGGTCCAGGGAGATCCTTGGACTGGATCCGTCCACTTCGGACCCCTCGGTCAGAACACTGCCACTACTCTTCATCAAAGCTGCTCTAGCCTCACCGGCTTCATCATTGTCAATCAAAAGACTGCATTCCACGGAACCTTCCATCAAACTAGGGCCCACCGCAGGAAACTCATTCAGGTTACCTTCCTGGACAGCACGTTGATCAGAGGGACCTTGGAATTTAGACTCTAAAAAAGGATCTGCCTCTACAGGCTCTTCATCCAAATGCTCCGCTCCTCCTTCTCCTGTTTCTTCTTCATAAAAAACCCTGTCATCTGGATTGCTGCCTTGTGCACAGTCAGCATCAGCTGCCTCTTGTGCCAGCAGTTTTGGCTCTGGGAAGAAAGTCATTTCCATTGATCGCTTCATGCTATTTCTGGATCCAGCTATTTCATTCAAAAATGTCTCACACTCAGACGGATCCTCTGAAAGCGATTTGTGCCCTTGGCCTCCCTCCTTCGGCAGATTGTCGGCATCCTGATCCTCCTCCTCTTCTTCCTCCTCAACAGCATCCAAGATTTCGGGAAAGAAGGGTTCCGCCACAGTTCCTCCAGCAGCCATGAAGTCATACATGTCCTCGGGTGCTGGTTCTGCTTCTGTCAGAACAACAGACGGAACTCTGCAATCAGCAAGCTCCATGCGCCCTGGCGTTGGAGTGGCAGGAACTTCTTCATTTGGCAACACTGGCATTGGCTCTAAACTCATGCTGCACTCCGGATCCATGCCACCAACCAAAATCTCTGTGCAACCCATAGAGCTGCCGAACATTGAAATTTCCTGATCTTCTGCCGTTGGAGTGGGCAAGTCATCACGATCCACACCAGCCAACTCCCAGTCCTGAGTGGAAGGAACCAGCGTTTCTGATGCGTCACTGGACATGCTTGCCAAGTTACCAGAGCTTTCAGAATCGATCGATTTCATCGAGTCCCTCGAGCTCGTTGAGCACACCACCGAGTAGTAGCGGGAAGACTCGGATTGCTTTGAAAAATCTCCGGGAGTAGGTGTGGTAGTTGCAGCCGTGTTATACTCGGAAGAAGACCCGGCTGTGGCAGTGATCATTTGTTCAACGTCCGAAGAAGTTGGCCTGCTTGCTGGCTTGCTGCCGTCAGATCCACCCTCAAAAGACTGATACCTGGAGTCACCTGAACTGGACCCTTCAACTTCAGCAGGTGGCCACTGGACATCACTCGCTCCACTCCTCGGAGAAGAGCCAGTCAGGGTACCGGGATTGGACTCTAATTCGGACTTCTTGCTTTCTCTCGACTCCCTCACTTCTTGCCTGAACGCAGCAACCTTTCGGTCAACAGTCACGGATCTGCCGTGAGATTCCCCATCATGCGCTTCCTCACTGGAGCTGCGCATGGTTACAGGTCGTGGTACTCTCTCATCGTCCTCATCAAAGGACGCAGTCTCAGGAAGCACATCATGATCTTTCGGCTCATGCAATGCTCCAGTCCCAGCACGGGATTCTTCTTCGGGGAAACTATCAGGTAGATTTCCAGGGGAACCATCAAGTCTTCTGGACTCCATCCAGTCGCCCTCAGACATCTCCCTTAAAATGGCCACGTGTCGGTCTGGCGGAGACAGCTCACCGCTTTTCATGTCCTCATCGGTTATTTCCATGCTCGGAGGTTCCCCTTGAGTGATCTTCTTTTTCTCTTTCATTTGATGTTGGGCAGTGACTGATGAAATCAATTCTTGACAACGTTCGTCGAAGGGTTCGCACAAGCCTGACTGCAGCACGTCTTCCGAGAAAGTTCCTTGACCGGATGCACTAGAAGAGCTCATTTCTCTGACTTTCTCTTTGATGCCTTCCACGATTTCAGCAGCGAGGTACCTTGCTTCTTCTTCGGTCAATGGCTGATGACTTGGGTCATCGTCGTCAAATAATTCTGCCTCTTCAGAGGGCTCTTTGATGCAAATTTGCTTTTTATGAGGAGTAGCGTGCTCAAGCGTTCCACCTTCGTCTTCAGCTTCCACAGCTTCCCAAACAGTATGCTGAATTACTGCTTCTGTACCAAGCACGGGACTTGGAGGTGGTTTGAAGTAAGATGCATCTTCAGGGGCAGCAGGAGACAGGGTTTGGTTCGACTGCGGCTCTTCAATTTCCACCCCAGCAACTCCTTCAATAGCTCTTCTGATCACCTCCCTTTCAAGACATTCAGAGACCCTTCTGATGTCGGCAATATTTGGTGGTCTCATTTGGCCTTCGTCAGCATCATCAACAAACGGAGTCGCAGGAGGAGAAGCTGGCACGGGCTTTGCCATTGCAGGGAAAGCAGCGGATGGAGAGGAATCATCGCTCGAGGACTGGTGCTCAATTTTCACGGGTCCTGACGCTTCGTCAGGTTCCGTTGATTGCATAAATGATTCTCCCTCAGCGTATTCATCAAGTACGGCTTGATTTCCTGCTTCTTCTTCATCAGACGCACTGGAGCTGCTCTCACGCTCTGGAACCATTCCCCGGACAACTTCAAAGGGACTTTTCGATCGCTCAACAGGACTCTTTTCTTCTGCGGCCAGCAAGTCACCTTCATCAATGTTGTCCACTCCCAAAAAGCCGCAGTTGTCGTAACTCGTTTCATCAGTCTGGTTCGGTTCTTGCGATTCAACCAGCGTGTCTTGCTCAACCGAATTCTCGAACTCTTGTTCAAAGTCCTGTTCTTGTCGGGATGAGTGACCATTGTCTTCCAACTCATCTCGCTCAGAGCTGCCGAAAGTGGCATCCTGAGACGATGGTCTCTCCACAATAGTTTGTATAGTCGCAGAAGTCTCAGTATCACTCTCAAATGTCGACTGCGACATGAACGAGTCATTCGGAAATTGTGCAGATTTTTCAAAGCTTGACTGGAAGGACTGGTCAGTAGAGCCGGATGACACGGCTTCCCAAAATCGCCTTCGTTCGCTGTAACTTTCGATAGTCTCCTGAACACCTCCCGGTGAAGTCGATCTTCCGGCATCAGTGCTATCACTTCGGTAAACTTCTTGAGCGCACAATGCTGGGTCTTCACTCGGAGAGATCCCGAGTTTGAGAGCTTCCTGAGGAACTGGACTCTCAAGAACGGATTCCGTCCTCAGTTCAGAGGGTGAGAGTTCCTTGGGCGACAGAGCTTCAAAAACCGCTACCTGCTGACCAACGCTTTGAAACACGGGACTGGAAGGAGGCGATGAAGGTGCTCCACCAATTGAAAGATCTAGATTCGTGCAGCAAAATGGTAAAAAAAAAATAGCAAAATGATGGTTCATGTTGATGGGACACAGTTTCTGTCAAGAGATGCCGTCAAAATTTGATCATTTGACATTCCTGGGAGTTAATTTCATCCCTCTAACGAAAGATGATTCCCTATATCACGATGACGCGAATACAGTGATCCTAAAAAAGAATCATACAATCAAGTCTATCGTCATGAGTGTTTACCTCGTCGCCCAAAAATCGTGATCATACGCCGCCAGGAACAAGCATAACCCGTAACCAAAAGCACACGTTCAGCGGACCAATTTCTTCCCAAAGTACACCCAAATAGCCCAAGTGTTGAAGCAACATCAAAGCTAAAGCCCCGCCAAGAAGCACCAGCAGCTGGCAGAAGTGGATTCTCAAACAAATCTCAAACCTCGGTTCTCTCCTGCTACTGCGGCATTCGGAATGTTTGAATCCCCCTGTACTTCATGGGAACTGCTACTATCAGAGGACGAGGACGAAGACGATGATGATGAGCTGGAGGAAGATCGCGATCTCAAATTGGAGTTGTATTGTTGACATTTTCCATTCATGGTCAAATCATCATGCTCAGGCAAGAGAGGCTCTACGGTTGGGTTCCAGGGCATTTCATCATCATCCAGCAACGGGTCTTCACCGGTCATAGGGTTCGAAAATGTAGTCACAGTGTAGCCATGAGTACTTTTAACCGTGAGGTCATCTTCCTCTTCCTCTAGGCTCTCCTCAAAATCTACTGATCAAGAGTCAAAATTGTCTTGATACGCTTTTATTCCATTTTGAGGCAGATAGGGTCCGTAAACTTTGACAAACGCCATAGTTTAAATAAAATTCATCACAAAATACACGAACTTCCTTCGCTGTCAGTAGCAAAAATTAGACATCAGGACAAGGATTTCTTCCCTCCAAGATATTCTCCTCTGAGCACGCCATTTACGCGTAGTCCACGAACATCAAGTATACAAAGCATCACAAAATACTGTACTGTACAAGAATCTCTTCCATTGTCAGCAGCAGAAAATACGTTACCTGTCCCAACAAAAGGTTTTTCCGAGAATCAGAAGTCCAGTACAATCACGCCTCTGAAAGTTCATTCGCATAATGAAGCCCAAACACATGCAAGCTCGCCCTGCTGTAAAAACGACTGCTTTCATGACTTTGTTTACATGCGAGCACTTTACAGCACAATAGTATCTGTCAAGTTCATGGATTTCAAGAATAAAAAATATCTAGGCTTGATGCAAAATTCCCGCTAATGATGATGATGAGCAGCTTTTTCAGTCGCTGACAGGGCGTTAGTAAAATCCGGGGAAAAGACGAAACTCGGCAGGGACATGAACAATTATGACATCTTCTCTACCGTCAGAGCGCATGAAGCAGCAGCACAAACAGTGCACGGATTAGAAAACGCGTCTGCTTGCAAAGGCGAGGGATCTCTACCTGGAAACACCGTCATTCTGCTGAACTCTGAATCCTCATGTGCGAAAGGATCTTCCCCGGAGGTCATATACAAATTCTCGTAACTTGAATTCATGTCAGGGACTTGAGAGTAGAGCTGTCCCAGTATCCGGCAACCAGGCTGCTCTTGTCCCATCGGAATATTCCCAGGAACCATTTCTAACTCGGCTTCATCGTACAAATTCTCAAAACTCGAACACACTTCCCGCCTATTCCCACCGCAATCGTGGTCTTGCACCGTGAGTGCAATGATCGGAGGGACCCGATTAACAGGCACAGTAAAGGTTTCTGGAAGACACCCTCGTTGCCACGCGAACTGCCTAAAATAATCCTCTGCTTCAGGGGATCCAGTGATCAACGATGGCTCACGCTGGGCACCCAAGCCGAACTCAACTTCTTGACTGCGTTCTCTGATTACGAACGGATCCCCCTCAAATGCTGTCCAGCATTCTGAAGGGAAAACTTGATTACAGCCGCGTAATTCTCGTGGGGGAAAAACACCCAAGGCTTTTAAAAATCACGAAGTTAGTTACACAGGGCAAGATTAGGGATTTTTGACGCAGACGAACACAACGAAAACGGGAAAATCGACCGACAGTCAGGTTTCGAAGATAAGAAAAATAAATGTAGAGTACACGCAAACGAACTGGCAGGAGGATTCTCCAAGGAAATAGCAACCCATGAAAATATTCCCGAATGCATCCTCTTTCCAATGACATGGCCTGCACATATCATAAGCCTATGAACAGGGTTTGACATGTTCAGCATGTTTCGTTTCTTCCAAAATGCGTGACATCCGGAAGGTGATTCTCGATGCGATCCGAAGCCGGCTCTGACGTGAGTGTAAAGTGTGATGCAAACATGCGTCAGTACTGTATTTTAATGTAACAACAATCCAGGCACTAATCTCGGAATAGTACTTCACGACTCCGTTAGAAACGACACACCTGGCACACGAAAAAATTGCTCCAAAAATCGCGAAGGTAACGCTCAAATTCATTCTGAGGAATCACGCAAATATAAGTACATTAGCAAACTATGCTTGAGATAGAACGAAATTTGGTTTGAAAAACTTTAAAATACAAAATTAACGCAGAAACGGACAATAGTAAAAAAAATCACACAGTTCCCTGAAATGAGTCAATATAGCGAAGTGTATCACACAGTTTCCAGCTTCATGTAACTGAGAATAAGATCGTATTTTTTCCGAGTGGAAAACAAATCTGTAAAATTAATGAGAGAGCTCGGATTTCTCAACAGAAGAATTAATAGAAAAACTATTTTATTCACAGTAGAGAATTTTGATTTTGAATGCAGAGTAACATTTCATGAACAGATCGTCGACCAGAAAAATAAAGAAACTGTGACAAGGAAGTCATCACCACGCAGGAAATCGTGGCAATCGGGCGTTTTGGTACATGAATAATTACTACTAATTATAAGCATCCAAAACGAGGCCATCAGATTTAAATTCAGAGCTCAAGCAACTCGTCAAAACTGAATAATAATGAGAAACGTTTGTAATTCTGCGGGGGATACGAATGTTTCCAAGCGTCTGGGGAGGGGGGAAGGGGGGATGTTAGTTGGAAAGCTATTGAAAAATTCGGTCCTCAGCCTATGAACAAACGGGCTTGCCTGACTTGGACCCCGGTCTGGGGGTCAGAACTTGGACGTGCTTTCCACCCACCCATCCAACCCCAGCTCCGGCCCGGTTCTCATCGCCCCAGTCAACAAACTCCCGGATACTCCGGATCTCGACAGCGTCTTTCCCGCTTTCTCGACCTTTGACAAACAGCTTGACCTGGGCTTTAATGGCCCGGCCCTCGTCCGGCTCCGGGTCTTCGTCCCCGCTCGACAAGTCTTCCCCGGACGAGTGCCAGGACTCGGATTGGATGGTGACGGGTTTCAAGTGCACCCAGTGTTGGGGCCTCGTCAAGGGTGCACTACTGACTTCTAGCAGGGACTCTGAACAGGTAGTGTTTCCGGCTGAGCTCGGCAAGCGCTCGTTGCCGTTGTCGAGGCAAAGCCCGGACAGAGACTGCTCGTCCACGCGGTAAGAGTCTTGGCTCGACTTGGAACCACCGTTTTCCTCCCCGGCTGTGGCCCACTGCTCCTCACTCAATTCCATGCACATTCCGTCTTCCGTAAAACAAAGGCATCACATATCAACAAGTCAACGTGCTCCTTGGAGAATCCTCTCGCCTATTCTCCTTCCACTATAGCAGAATCAATGCCCTCAGCAGAACGATCCAAAAAATAAATTTCCACACGGACACACAAGGTGAAACACGAGGGATTTCACGCAAAAGAATAAGGATCAACGTTCAACAATCGTGGAAGGTCACTTCCCGCGTCAAAACATCGTTTACGCCTTCACGGCACATACTGTACTGTATTTCGGCTTGATGGGAAATTTAGCGATTAGTAGGTGCTTTCGCGATTTCAAACGGAGTTGACAACGAACAGCACCGAAAGAAGCCTTTCCTTCTTTTTTCAGATTCGGAACCTGAACAGCTCCTCCACAAACATATTTTTCAATTCAGAGTGAAACAAACAAAAAATGACCATACATGCGGAGGAATTACCACTCACCCATATCTCGATCAGCTGTCTCTTCGGGTTTCTCGGGTTGTTCCGCATAGTCATCTGAAATCCAGCAAGGATGAAAGGAGTAAATTTCAACTCTATCAACCAGTGATCAACCAATGCATGGATCCAAACACACGCAGCGTCAAGCAAGTTAGCAAGGAAACAAGCAAGAACTCGCCGATCAGAACCAAAATATTTTATACTGTATTCGGGTTTCGTTTCACAAAAGTAACCGAAGATTTTCAGCAATTCTCTTGGTTTACGATTTCGTCCACAAAAATCCACATTATTCATCAGCGGCACAAGTCATGGACTTGAGTTTCAAGAACCGTAACAGTTCCGAAAGATAAGATGATGCCAAACTCAGCACTAATTTTGTTCTTGAATTTTAACGACTGGATCAATAATACTGTACTGTGATTAATTTCAGTAGAAATCTACTTCATTAGCGAAACTAAGATGCACCAAGAATGCGTTCAACTAGAAAAATGTTCTACCAAAAAAGGTTTCTGTAGTAAATGTGTGCAGTACTGAGAAAAAAGTCAGTTTAGCTGAATATTAAAACGTTAGGCGTAGGGCAGGTTCGTTGAAAATTAGAGCAACCAGGGTTTCACACTCGATTCTCAGTCACGAAGTCGGAAGAAATGCATCTAAATTCTACTCGAAATCATCACGAGAGGAAAAAAATAGCATGCATGCAATGGCAGGCGAGGCAGTAAAATTTCCCAAGCAAAGCACGGCAATAGTACAAAAAAAAAGAAGTACAACCCCAAAGAAACCACCTGAGCCAGAAAACGCATCCCGACACGAAGAAATGGAGGGAATCAATCGAGAGCAAAGTGGACTGTCCCAAGATTCTGCCCCGCCATCCACTGGCACGAGTCCACCAACGCAAATCTCTCCTTCGTAGATACCGGCGCTCAATGGACACAGCTGCACCGGGCTTACGGGTGCGACTGAGATCGACTCCCGGACCATCACCTCCTCCACGCAAGTCTCAAGCTTTTCTTGCGAAACGGTAATTTTTACGACGTCGTCAGTTGAGAACACTGGGACACGCGGCTCTAAACTAGCCTCAGACTGCAATTCTATGGATTTGATTTCCTTCGGCACTTGTTCCTTTAATGCGAAGTGCTCAGATGCGTCTGGCATCGGTAAAAACGAGTCAAACTCGACTTCCGAACCGGCCACGTTTAAAGGCTCCAGACTTTCAATGTGGATTTCATCAATGACGGGTGAGCAATCAATCCCTTCTCCCGTCGGCACCAAATCCAGCTCATATCCACTGCGAAACGGTCCTGTTGCGCATTCACCAACACCGAAGTACACAATATATTCCGAACCAAATCATCAAATCTACATCACGGTCTCGATGACAGTGCTTGGAGGCAAAGCATGGTAACAAATCCGGTAGCCGAAGAGGCTGTACAACAATGCACCCGGGACCAACATCATGCAATTCATTAGAACACATTGCGCTTCTGAACAAAATAACACACGTTGGTAGAATGATCAAACGGAAGGCATCTCCATGCAAGTGCCAAAACATAACAAAGAAATGGAGTAGAGTAGAATATTCTGGAATCCAACCACGGAGAACGATTTGAACTTACCATTCTAACCCGACAACATAAAATTAATAATAACTCAGAACAATGGAAGAAATTAAATTTAGAGTAGAATCCTATGAAGTCCTTCCAAGGCTACATGTACGCAACTCAAAATGAACATAGATTCAGTTATATACCTTAGGACAGCCTCCTGATCAGGAAGAAATTTTCTACTAAACATATGCTACTGCAGTTCTCCATACTTATATGCGTTAACATAAATATGTTCCCCGAAGATTTCTAATGAATATACCTGTCGCATACATTCTCTTTTTTCCCCAAGCGATTGATGAACAGAAACAATGAATCAAACTTCTAAAGCTCACCATATACTCCTTCTGTGGCATGCACCTCATCCTCGTCTTCTTCGGCGACTGCTTGCAACTCATCATCACATTGCAGCGTATCGATGTAACCTGCAAGAATGAAAATATTTTATAATGTTCACGGGAAAGAAGCTGGAAAACAAGAAGCAGCATAACTAAAATCGAAGAAAAATACAAAAAATACGCGTAAGTCATCGCTCGTCCGGGTCAATGATGAAAGATAAGCCGGAAATGCATCACGTTTCACGAGAAGAATTCATATAACAGTTTTCACGGTTACACATGAAGTCAACTCACCTGCGGGTGAAGTCTGGTGCAAAATTTTGCTCGAAACAACAATTTCTTCTGTTCGAACGGGCTGCCCGTCTCTTTCTGTTTTTCGCATGACCGGCTCTTCGACGATCATTCCTGTTGGCGAAATTCACACCAGCAATCGCAACGATATTCAAAGAAAATTATTAGCAGCTATGAAATATAAGATAAAATGAAAGGTAGCATACAGTACAAGGGAAATCTAAGTGAAGAACAAGATACGAATACGTTTTCATGCAGGATCGTAGAAGAACCATATTCAGGAAAACCATTTGTTGAACTCGGGGCAACATAGAGCTTCGGAGAAAACAAAGTTAATTGAAGGTAGGGAGGCAAGCAATTCGGAGAGCGGAGAAGAGTTAAGAGCAGTTCAATGCATGATTTTGTTCGATGGCCAGCTAATAGCTGTTAGTCCATCCCAGCCAAAAGCTGAAAACGCAGCAAACCTTCGGGAGAGTCAATCTGACGCGTTTTCTCTCCACTGCTCAGTTTTCGCTGCTGCTGCTGCTCTTGCTCCTCCAACAGCAAAAGCTGCGTCATCTCGTCCAATAAATCTTGCTTCGCCTCAGGAAGCGCGTCTGTTCTAATATCCTCGTCAGGGATCGAGTCCACGCGACGCACTACTCTTCGGAACTCTTCTTCTTGCACAGGGGAATGACAGGCCGGTGCTTCAGAGCCTAAAGCAACAGCCTGCGTGCAGACTTCGATTTCTTCCTCATCATCAAGCACCGGGCTACTGAGATGAATCTGCGGGATCGGGATCTGCGCTATTCTTTGCTGCAGTTCTTCGTCAAGTATTTCAAGTTCGGCATCCGAGAAATCCGGTTTCGGACTGACTCGGGAAATGCCGAGAATTTCTTCGTCGCGGCTTTCGTCTCCCGCACCTTCTTCCATCTCAGCAGCATACTCTGGAGTCAGCAGCGACTCGTCCAACTCGTCTCCCTCAGAAGTCAATGGAATGGTGAGGATTTCATCGCTGAACTTGACATGCGGTGATGACAAACGCCGTTGTTCAACCGCATTCTCTGCCTCAGTCTCCACCTCCTCAACTATACAAGCGCTCGCGTTTTCAATGAGCATATCACTGGCAGCTATCCACAAATGATGGAGGGAAAGGAACATAAAACAACATAAACACAACCACAATCATAGCAGCCATATGTTCACGCTAGAACGGAACACGAGTGCAACCTCAGAATAAACGGCCGAAGTAATCAACAAACCTGGCTCGGTGAAGGAGACCTTGTGTTTGATTTTTGCTTCATTATCATCTTCCTCCTCGCCTGCAGACTCCGACTCCTGCGTGGAGTAAAAAAAATTATTAGCATTGATCATTGCTAATATCAATCTTGATTAACTATGGTAGATTGGGTTCCAGTGAACCAGTTTTCCTCAGATTCCATTACGTTCAAATGAGACCGCAGATTCTCAACTTGTCTTGTGACTTTGCTTATAATGTACTGTGTTATGCATCTCTACAGTAGAAATCCTAAGCTATGTTGTTCGAGTCGTGATCTTAAATTATACGCAAAAAATCTCTTGATACTCTCCGGACCATTTTCCTCAAGGCTACTACGGCAAATTTCCTTCCATTTACAAATTTTACTTGCTCGTAGCCTTGATTCTTATTGTTCGGTACCATTATGATCCTTCGCTTTTCAGGAATCCGTATTTTAGACAATGAGGCAATTTTTCCCAAAGTTTTAGGCCCAGTCCTTCCATAATTACTTCCTCACGTAGAGAGTAGGACCTCAAGTGGACAGAGCTTCGAATGGATTCCACGCGGACTATTCGAAGATTAAAGAATAAATAAATGCACATATATTTGGACATTTTTTGGAATTTCAGAGACAAATCGAGAGCGGCTTGAACGTGAAAAGTAAATAAATACAGCTTAAATCATCACTTAATGGAAAAATGTTTAAGAAACTAGCACCACTTCAGATCCTACATTCCCACTCATTAAATTTCGGTGTTTCACAATATGGAAGAAAATCGGGAAAGAGGGATTCAAAAAATCAAAGCCTAAGTAAACTTCGTAAAGCAAAAATGAAGATGGTCGTACCTTGACCATGTCCTGCTCTTCGTAGGACGCGTCAAGACAGGCGTTGCGCTTGAGGGACGCATCTCGAGATGGACCAAGTTCGTCTTTGAAGACATCAAAGCCGGCCTGGTCGAGCCTGACTCGCGCCACGGCACGCTCCAAGTCATCCGTCACTAGTTCCACGTTCGCAATACATTGCTTGACAATGTCTTCACGGTGGATGTTGACAAGACTCTGCTCCAGAGTATTGCCGGTAGCGGTGTTGCCAGCGCGTTGGCGCCAAAGGTGGATTGACACCAGTGCCTGTTGTTCCATGTTGTGCGGGTATGCTTCTTGAATCACTTGGATGTCGGACTCGGAAATACCGAGTTCACGAGCCAAGGGTACCCAGTCTTGTTGCAGCAACGAACACATCTCTTTCAGCTGGAATTCAGCTTTGTGAATGTTGTCTTCTGCAATTACGTCGAATTTTCCTGAAAGCATATGAATAAAACCCTCAGCAAAAAGAAGACGGCATCGTCACGCGAAGTCATTTTTGATGTCGCGGAAATTTCATGAAAAGCTCTGTACATGAAATGACTGCTATTCGATATTGATATACAGTACTGTCTTGATTTATAGAAGTACAGTTCATACTGTATTTGAAGATTAAGATGCAGTAAAGCCCAACAAGAATGATGAACACTTCAACCCAATAAGCATTACAATGGCGAGCCAATTCAGTGCGGATAGGTGTCACTGACTGTCACAGTAGCATTCTGAATTCACAACCAACCAGCGATTTCATGTCTTAATAACTGAGCCTCTTTCACTCATGAGCTCTGTGTGCGTTTCGTAAAATTTCGAAGAATTGAAATCAACAAAAACGACGCAATCACATGCGAAGCTCGATTCGTTTCTTCACATGAGCAGCGCTTTAAAAAGAACCGTACTACCACACATGGAGTCCGTAAAATACTGCAGAACAATGCCGAAAGAAATAAAAGTCAGATGAGGACGACGGCAACTTACTGCTTATGTTGTTGGTAACCAGTCCACCAGTGCGCATCAATGAGTATTTTTTCGTGATTTCCAAGAGATCGGACTCCGATGGGGTTTTCTCAGGGCTAATGGTGGTTGGCAAGACGATATTGAGATTGCATATGGGTACCTGCGGTGGATTGCCACGACCGACTTTGGGTTCACGCATGAATGCAATTCGCCCCACAGCTTCGGAACTGTTGTCTTTCACTCGCACCGTGAATGGCAATCGATTTTCCCGGAAAGCTTCGAACATCAGCTTCAGCTGGTCCCCACTTTTGGTTACTGGCACGAGATTCCCACCGAATTCAATGTACTGCGGTTTCCCTTCTAAAACCTGCATGTCCGAGAAACGATGAACATCAATGCCTTCAATTTCACTCATTCAACAGAATGCGAGCGGAACTTCGTGCTCGCAATTAATTTGTCGAAATTTTTAATATTTTTGAACAATACTGTAATAAGATTTAGAGGACCTTGGGTGAAATTTTTACACGGACATCTGATTTCTATAAATCAATTACGATTCTTAGAAATGAATTGAAAACTTTGTACGCACCTCTACGTCTCTGCTCTTCGCAACCTCAACGAAATGTTCTTGATGTTCCAAAGTTTTCTCTTCCTTATCATCAGTCATGCAGAATACTCTCAGTCGACCTTCTTCGGGATCATGTCTCTTCGCAAAAACGACAAATCTGCGACAAGAATCGATCAGCCGAAATTAAAATCAACGATCATAGTCATATGAAAAATGAAAGGGATTTACTTGGCCATAAATGGTACGTGAATCGCTTCTTTGTAAAGATCCATGGCCATTTTACCCGCTTCGGCAATGTTCCTGCAGTCAATGAGCCAAAAGCGAGCAGAGATGTTTGTGGTGAAAGAGACACAGTCATTGACGAAGGTTAACCGCGTTGAGCCCGTGACGTCTTCCCACTGAGCTTTGTTCGTGCCACCTGTTCCACAAAGTTTCGTTTTCTCGAGATTAACATGCTTTTCTGTCCGTCTCATAATTAATCCAACGATGCACAGCATTTCGAACTACTCAGGCATTCGAAAATCACATGGGCAACTATATGAACATGCATGGAAAGGCCTACACAATTTTATACAGCCAAAAATGCCTGGGTCCATGTCAGTGCCAAAACTGCCAACTAATACAAAGATGCTGCTAATGATGCGAAGTTGACTAACTTGCATTCGCTACAAAAACAATCCAAGAAGCCGTTTCTTTCTCCGATTTCTAGTTTTCAAAATCGGCAAGTAGGCTCACATTGTAAAAACATTTTGCATTCGCGCATCATTTTGTGCACGCATCAATGATCATGAAGACTGAAAATCTACAAAAAAAATGTACCACAGGTTACGTAAGAATGCGCCTGTCTCAAAACTACGAAGCAAATCATACACTAACATCGAGTTGCGTGCTTCTAGAAATGAATGCCACGAGCATAAAAGGTAATGTACGCACTGTTGTCAGAAAAATTACAAAAACGAAGGAAAAAACTCACACGGTCGTGGACTTTACGGTGCTACGAAACAATAATCGACGGCAGACAGAAAACGAGAAGAAATCTCTGTTAAGAACGACGAACTACCTTTATGCTGGGCATTTTTCCGAACATATCCTGGTCAGGCGCAGAACAGACAAGAGGTGGGAAACAGCTACGATTAATCAGATATTACACCTTCTCCGCTACATCCCTAACTGCACACACTCGACATGGCACTGAGCATCGGCATGGGTTCTCACCACGATTGCACGCAACAAGAGGAAGCAGGAAATACTACACGTTCACTCACTTATATAAAATTTATACACGGACATATATTCTAGCAATGTCACCATGCGGGGTCACTCACGTAATCGCAAGACAGAACCGAATAACCCACAGTATTCTTTTATTCCATCCCATTACATATTGTACACTTTTTCAAGGATAAACTCTACCTGTATTGCATTCCTGTCCATTCCGCTATAATTTAAATCAATTACTGTATAACACATTAGTCAACTGAGGATCTGAAGTGGAGTCCCGATTGAAGGTGCAATACTATTCGATACTTTTTAGCTCGCGAACAACAGAATTCCCAACATAAATTAGCACGACTTCAGCAAACGCTTGATAGAAAATCGAGGAAGGCGTTCACAGTGCTTTTCAAAAATGACGAACCCACAATGTCAAATCAATCAGAACTTTTGATAAATCTTTTATTGGATTGAAATGAGCAAACACCTGAGCAGTTGAAGATAGTTGAATCTCACGTCATATAACACGGAAATATAAGAGCGACTTGCGAAACTGTACCTGTGATGCTACATAGGAGTCGAAGGGTCGGGGCTTCGCCGGAATACTGATTGATCATGCCTTTCTGCGCAGCCTGGGGAACCGGGATCGTGAGGTTGATGCCCGTGTGGAACTTGCGCCGTCGCGGTTCGACCGTCACAATCGGTGAGACTGCCACTCCGTTGCCCAGCAGCTTGGCCACAAGCTCCGGTGGGACGGGTTGCGCCTGTGGGACGATGCACACAGGAATTGATTATCCAAAAATTCATTACGCTCCTTATTAGCGCAAAGCGACCCTCGACATCATCAGAATTGACTAGATAAGTTCCGTTTTGGAGTTACCGGTACACTGTATTCTCGAATAAGCATTCCATGGGCAAAAATAAAAAATAAAAATGAAAGCATTTACAACTCGTCGCAATAGTTTCAAACTTTTTGAAAAGTAGGACACGTCTTCCTTCTTCCAAACTGAAGTTTACAGCTTTACACCACACGAGTCTCTCGATATTTCATTCCCGTTTCAAGCGTTTTATTCGAAAGTTCGAAAAGAGATGGAAAAAGTATTTACGTCACCAACTTTCTTTAAGTCTACTTCTCGAAAAATCACCACGGAACGTTATCGAAATGTAATTTCACTAGTTTTTTTCTTCAGATAAGTTACTTACTTCATGAAAATAGAAGTTAGATTGACAATATTAATAAAAAACGCATACGGAATGCCGTACCACTAACTGATATTTCGTGTAAAGACACAAATTTCGAAAAATTCCACAGAATTCCAAAGATAGAGTGTATCGCAGCAAGAAACTGAACGAATTCAAAGCAATTCTACATGCGCTCTTCATAACGAAGATCTGAAATATGCTTTTAAGAAACGGAAATTCATTGGACGAATTCGTTTTCCCTTTGAGCCTCGCAAGAAAAACCAGCCAGGCCAAAAACGTCGGAACACATGATCCACAGCAGCACCACAACGACAACAACAGCACCTGGAGTACGAATTGCTTCAAGAAGATACGCTCATCAACAAATACAACAGTGTTCTTCGTCAAGTGTTTTGATCCAGTTTTCGCTCCAAGATGCGGGGAAAATGGAAACGAAAACATGAAGGAAAAGATCCGTAGCGGGCATCATGCCAATCTGAGTACATGCCGCAAAGGAAGTCATAATTGTAGGGCATCATTAAAATTCTACGAACTACATCTACGAAACAAGAAAGAGCTTCATGCGGATCCAATTGAACATGCTCACAACAGAGGGTATCATACCGCACACAAAAGCAACTGTACCTTGACCAGTGTTCCACCGAGGTCAACGAGCCAGGTCCAGCAGAGGACATACCAATTTCCAGTCCCTCCCAAACATTAATACGAGAGAGTGCGCAGAATGCTGCACACCAAGAAATTGCACCAACTTTAAGATTACAAATTTCCTATATTGAAAATATAAATCACTTCTCCAAATATTTTTTGGAATTTTAGAATCGTACAGCAGATAAAAATAGTTGTCCCACTTGAATTTAGAAACAGATGGGCTACCAGAGCATTAGATTTATGCCCCCCGTAATCAAATAATAATAATTCCTCGAATAATTTTTTCGACTGATCCAAGAGCTTCATATTTTAAAATCATTTCATCCGCGGTAGGCAGCACTCAACACAAAAAACTCAAAAGCAGCAGACTGCGAATCGCTCAACGCCTTCCGCCCCAGCATCACCAGAACCCAAGCAACTCAACCTCCCATTGCTAACCCTGGCACCAACAAACCCGTGATAAACCCTTGGAGGCATCATAGGTTGCAAGCTCATAAGACCTCGGTAGAACAGAAGACACAGAGGCGAAGAAACGTTCGACGGCGCAGAAAACCGAGAAAAAATAAATAGAACGACCAACACAGAAGAAACACGCAGATGAAGAATGTTGCTAACTTGGAGGTTCGACTCTGGAAGGGAAGCTATTCCCGATATCAAAAAATGCAATTTAATAATCCACATCAATCAGAGTGAAACTAATACGAGTACAGCAGACACAAAGTGTACTCAATATACTCATCATGTAATGGCTCTTCACGCAGTTCATCGACATTATTATCTTTTAGTAATTACGCAATTGCTCCAAGGTCAGTGTGATAAAACGCTTCGAAGACATCCTTCGATTAGCATGTCACCGTTTTAGGTCTTCGAAGAATACGGTAGAAATGGCATTGAGAAATCCAGTGAAAAATCCCACTAGTTCACGAACATAATTTAATACACTGAGATGAGACAACTTGTTTCCTTCATTATTGCCGTCGTAGCGCAAGAATAAGCATAGCAAAGAATGAAAACAAGAGATAGAAAAGATAGAATTGCAGGCACTGACACTATTGATAGTTCGGCCAAGTAGGAATATAGAAGAACGCATAATCTTAAGAAACGTAGACATTGGTAAGTTGATTTCCGTCCCCGCACACCAAAGCAGAAGTTACGAATTGTCGGTGCCCAGGATGAGCAACAGAGAGTCAAGTGCAAGCAACACAGACACGAGTCGCTCCAGGGGTAAAACGTGCAAATGTAATGTTCCCATCAGTGATTGTACCCGCGGTTAAATAGCCCGTACACCAAAAGATCAAGGTTAGTCAACCCTCGCACTCAAAAGGAAAAAAGCCCACAAAAGCGCCGGAGAACAGAGGAGTAGAAATGAAATCGCTTCGAAATTATTATTCTTTCTCCACTACCCTAGCTCCCCTCACCATCTCGGCTGCGCGTGTGAGACCAAAATAAAAAAAAGTTTGTTTCATTTTTGCTTTACAAGTCACACTAGTGTCACTTCACACTCAACATCGAGAACTCCAGTATGCACATTGTTCAAATCCCCACGGAAATGAGAACCGAAACTAAAAGACATATTGGTCCCACAAGCGATACAGCAGCAGATCTCCGGCGGGGATCACGACACTAGCCCAACAACGCTAATCAGCACTCCATGAAGCACACACTGATACTCAAAAATTTGTTTCACTAATGCGACGGCGTAGACGTCTATATTTACCCATTTACCAAAATTATAAACGAGCTCAAGCCTTGAATTTGTCTAGAATTCCCCAAGTTCCGAGATATTTTTTTTAATTGACGAGGAAAAGCTCAACACAAGGGAGATACAGTAAATTAAATGTGAAAATCGGTTCAGTGAATACGGTAATAACAGCTGAACGATTTCGAATGCTTCGAACGCAAACTATCATGAAAAATCTTCCAGGCACTGCGATGTCATCAAAATCGAAGTTTAAACGAAATCAAAACATGATTTCAGAAACAAATTGAAAGAACTCCAATTTCATAATTGAATCGGATGATGGAAAGATAAGAAGACAAGTCATCACACTTTCGTTGGCAGGTGACTGAAAAGTCTTCCGGAAGCAATTATAAAACGAACGTTATATGTCGGAAAAACTGATAACATGCACTGAGATGCCTGCGGAGAACCCGCTCAATCCAGAGAGCAAAACTGAGAACTTGAATGAAACGGAATGTCTCAAGCAGAACAGTTCACCAAGGAAATGCAAATCGCTTCTTTTTGCGTTTTGATAAGCCATCATTCACATCATCTCTGCTACCGATCAGCGACTCATTATTAGATACGGAAGCGTTTTGAGACAATGGCTGCAGGGGTAAGCGTTGTTGCTTCTGTTGCTGTTGTTGTGGCGACTGTGGCGTCTGCTCATGGCGCCGGCGACGCCGGAACCGCGGAAACTTTACCTGCAAGCCGACTTTGATCCGTTTGGTGAGTGCACCCTGGGGGAACACGGCCTGGACCTGCGGCACGACCGACGAGGACACAATGCCGCCTTCGGGCCCAATGGCGTGGATCTCCTGGCGCACACGAGACACGATGGCGAAGTACTGCGGGAAGTCGGTGGTGAGAATGCGCGTGATGCGGTGCGTGTTGAGGTCCTCGAGCGCGGCGAGGTCCTCGCCATCAAACGATTCATTCAGCACTTCCTGCACGGCTTCTTCCGACGTGTCCAGCGAGTGTTCTTTCCAAGTGTCGCCGTCGTTGGAGCGCAAGATGGAGATTTCACGCTCGCGTCCGCGCAGCGAGGCGAAGTGCGGCACCTCGATGATGACGGGACTAAAGAAACAAGAGTACAACAGTTTCCCATCATGTCCGTAGCGAGTCAAGTTCACATCCGAGTTTCAACACCTCTCTGACCCGCGCAGGAACTTTCAAAAAATCAACATGAACGTTGTTAGAGAAGCTGTATTTCATAGCGAAGCTTTTCACACCTTTCTCACGTCTGACGAAGACAGTAATTATTGCCTCTCACCTCAAAACTATACACGCAAAGCAATCATTTCCTCTCTTTCCTGCGGGCCTGATCTCGCTGGTTTTCGAACATTTTGCGTCATCAACTTTTACCTCATACATTGTTTTCTTTCTCTTCTCATCAAATTCATTATTTTCTTTTCGCTTCTTCGACTACAAGATGCGAAGCGGAAGTGAGAGTATTCGGTACTCAGGAGGCGGTAAGCACGTCCGGGAAGAAGAAAAAAGTCTAAACCAGAAGGAACTTGAAAAGATTTTTTCTGAAAGTCGTCGATCTCTCGAGATATCCCGTGATCACAGGTGTCGCCAGTCGTTGAAGGATCCCCAGGCTCAAGACATGCGGAGTTCAAGACGTGCTCTTCGTCAGTGCGGTGGAATTCTCAGAACTTTAACTCATGCATTGAAAATGTTTCCGCTGACGCTCAACGATGGACTACTCGTGTGCATTGCTTTTCAAGTACTGGCACGCTTACAAATTCTATTTATAACATATGACGGGCAACCTTATCTTCAACACTCGTTCGCTACGAGTACCTTCATCGACTTGATTTAATACGGTACCTCAACGGCGAACAGGCATAAGCAAAAACATTCAACGAGTCGTAAAAATGCGAAAATTTAAAAATGCAGAAGCAACAATTTTATGGAAGGCATCCCAGCAAATAACAAAATAAGAATAATTTGCCATGAAATTTTCCAGAGCTGTTTTTATAGAGGGCTGAAGGTAAACGTCACTTCCAAGTCATAACTCGGAAGTATTAAATTGCAGAAAGTTGGTAACGGATGTTCGGAAAAGCTTTTTTCCTGAACAGAGAATATCCATTTTAACCTGAAAATTTGACATAAATTAAGAAGTTTCTTCTAATTAAATTTCCTTTGAATTTGATCCTATTCGGGAAAAAAGGCGATTCAGCCCCTTCGAATAAATAAAATGGAAAGAATATACAGGTGGACTCATTCTAGAACAATCTTGTCTACAACGATTTTCTCTGGATAGCTAAGTTGTTCTGTCGTTCCCATAGAGTTCTCTCCAAATGTCGAGGGGTTCTCTGCAACCAATTTTTCTCTTGTCCCTTACATTTTGTTGCAAAAATAGTCCAACTGTAGTTTCTGCGGGTTCCAACAGAACGTTTCATAAACAGAAGTTCAGCCTGACAATAATCGAAGGATTTCTCCTCTTCAATCTCAACAGGTTTCGGTTCTTTACTATTACTGTGCAAAGCTTATTAACTCATTCCTATTCCTAGACACTTACCCAAGGAACTTGGCCCCAGCAGGGCCCATTTCCAGGATCCGTGAGCAGAGAACCTCGCCCTCCATCAACGGCGGCGGATGTATGAGTTTGTCCTTCTTCAAATACCTGCACGTGATTCGCATCGGCATCGGCGCCTTCCGCGGCGGCACGATCACGCGGACGCCAGAGTGACGGCAACCACGCATCGCACCTCCACGCGCATCCACCATGAAGCTCACGAGGAACCTGGCAACACATAATATCCGAGCAGTTAAAGAAAAAGAGAAAACAGAAGAGGTCGGTTTTCTCAATTTTCTTCCTCTCCTTTCGCCGCAGCCAGCGACTGGGAATTTCTCCGTTAGTTCGAACGTCCATGCGGATTCTTTCCAACGCCTCAAACGTCAAGCAAAACATCAAACCGAAGCACCTCGTAAAAAAAAAACCCCCGTCACAAGAATTTTCTGTCTCGCTCTTTGACTTCGCAAAAACTTCATCACACGGACTCATACAAATTCTATAGTTATTTTTCAGCCTCTAGAGCCGAGTTTTATGGGAAAGTCTGGCTCAATTCAGATTTCACATTATTGCAGGAAGCTGTCGCGCAAATCTATGCACTGTACTTTGCAAAAGAAGCATTCTTATCATCTACTTTTGCAAATAAAGAAAATAATTGAAAGTCAACTGTAAGGGCAACAATAATCGGATGAAAACTCGCAAAAATGCCGCAGAGGACAGTATAACTAAATTGACGATGGACGTTGCTTGCTTTTTTCAGGCGAAGGAACGCGGATGTACATCCTATGATTAAAAACTAAAATGGCATCCACACAAGTGCATTCGGTTCAAATTTTGAGACAATCTCGTCACCCAATTTTTTCACTCCACATTCAAACACTTCGCCGTCCTCCACACCCCGTTTGCTACTCTAATTAGCCACTCAGCTGAGCAGAAGCGATGACAGAAAGAACCTCACTAAATACTTGTATGTCATTTCAATTACGGTTTGAAAAGAACGCAATTCAAAGAAACTGGAAACCGCTGGCGTCGTGGCTGTTGCGAACCAGGCGAGGGAACGATACTCGTGAGAACATTACGAAAACGACAACAAGCACTGAAACTCACGTTCGCCACTGCAATTTGTCCCTGGAACCGGCCATGTAAGGCAAGCATGCAACAAGAAAGACAAGCAGCGGTTCTCACTGTCAACGCCACCGCACACCAAGGAAACTAAAAGGGACGTAATCTGAACCTGAGGTTTACGATCAGTTGCAACCTAGTCATCTGAGACGGTCAACGAATATTTTTCAAGATTTAAAATAACAGATTGGCTCGGAAAAATAATTTTGAACTTCCACTTGAAAATCTGCTAAAACTCTCCGGGATAATCAGTTCACCTCAACCTGCATCAAGAAAACGCACCGGTTAATTTTGGAAGTTCGCCATCATACAAGTATATGGATCCTCTCTTAAACATTTTGTTAAGTCAGACGGAAAAGTGACGGTTTTCACGCGTGGTCTCTTCACTTCTTTTTCATTCTTCTCGAGTTAATCGAGGAATAAATTGTAGATCTAATCTGTTTCAGAGATTGTCAGGTTAAATGAAGTGTATCTCTCGGCAGTCCAGATCGGATTAGTCGCGGGAAACGTTAAGCAGACAAAAAGTCTTCATGCACACGAGCAAAATCAGCTCCATTCCGAACTCTGATCACGCCCCACACTCAAGCCTGCCAACCTGTTCCGAGACATGCCGCCAGAGGAGGTCGACAATCCGCTCTGCAAACTCGTTAAGCTCACGCTGACTCTGTCGAGTTCCCATCAACCAAGGGAAAACAGATACGTCGAAGAAAATTCCCCACCAACCGTCAATAAAAAGAACGTGGAAAGATATTTATCAAAGCTAGAGAGCGAATAAGGGTCATGAATGCGACTAGAACATCGTCTGCAACATTGAGACACCTCCACCGAGCGTCAAAATAATAAGGAAAAAAATGCAGGCCGAGGGAATCGGCGGCTTACCCAGAGACGATCGGCTGACGAGAAATCTGCACGTTATCGGGAGCATAGTCACCGGTGAACTGGGCATACTGCTCCTTACTTTTTATCGGGCTGATGATGCTGTCTTCAAGCCCACCTGCAAAACGGCGGACAATGGATCAGAGAATACATTTAAAAAGAAAAGCATAACGGCACTAACGCAAATTCATAAATGAGGGGCGAAATGCGAAAGATTCAAAAAGGTGGACCTCGATATCTCGAACTTCCCAAGTCGAAAACATGGACGATTTTTTATTTTTTTGCAAGCTCCTGTCGGAATTCCCTTTGAAGCAATCTATCAAAAACCTCCCTAAGTCGAAGGCTTTCCTCTTTTACTGAAACAGGAAAGGCAAAAGCGATCAATCAAAATGTAACTTTATGTGTTCTCAAAGGAAGTGAAAGAATAATTAAGCAAATAAACTCTTGCCTCCAAGTTCAGCATCCTGTCAACTCATTTACGGAACAAAGCCTTAAATGCCTACAATATCAGAGGTTATTGATTTCCTGTACTTCTTTCTTCCCCAACAAAAATGCTTGGTTCCCTAACTGGAAACTTAAACTTCAATACTTTGATTTTTTTTCTAGTCCCTTGAAGCTGGACTTGAAGAGGTTCGACTGCACAAGATGTTCGGGTAAGATGTGAAAAAGTTCATCCAGAGCGAATTATTAATAAATATGATTAATGCTCTGATTTTCTTCACTGCAACGAAAATTCTTCGAAGTGTGAAGTCACTCACACTCACTACTGAATTTAAATTTTAAATGTCATAATTTTAAATTGCTGCTTCATTTCTGAAATTAACGAATGAGCTTGGAAGAAAACAGTAGAATTGATAGATTCCCTTGAATAAAATAAGATATACGGTATTAAACTCGGGAGTTTTTCTCTGTCGCTCTAGTTCATTTCACTTTATTTTTTACATATTCATAACCAATTTTTAAGCGGTTCTAAGTAGGTCCCAATCATGCTTTGAACCATGAAAAAATGCTGACTTTTCCACTGCTAAGTCAACTTCAAATACTGTATGTGCGATGACTCACCTTCTCTGTCAAAACTCATGTCCATCCTTTCGCTTCGTTCGTCTCGCGTCACGTCAATCTTCATAGAGTCATCACCCAACAACTTCATCTCATCTACCGTGAGATACCGGAATGACTGGTCACCAACTACAGCATCGTCTCCTAATGAATCAAAATCACAAAAAGACCACAATTAATTGCGTCCGTTGAGATTGAAAAAACCTTGTAGACGTTGCCCTTTTTTCGCCGACAGTCAAAATTATTCTCGCGAACAATGGTCAAATTAAAAGCTGTAGATAATTTCGAAACGTGTCACATAAACTGCTAATGTAAATCTCCGGAGTTGATCAGATTCACAAAAAAAAAGGCAAAATTTGCACAAAAGACTCGTCTCAAAATTTTGAGCAAGTTTAATTATGAAAAACATCATCAAACTGTCAGTGCATTACTCGTGAAAAATTAATATTTTAAACGTATGCATCAGAAAGTAAAGAAGTTGGAAATCAAACTCAAATTTACTATCGCAAAGCTGGAAAAATTTACAGCACCAATAGGAGATCGGAATATTTCTCATTGATCTAACCTCATGATTCGTCTTTCGTTCAAAGCCGCGGAAGAACAGACAATTTCCATTTAATTTCGCAGATATAAATCACGTGACGCAAGCAAATTTCAAAATCTGAACACAATACTACGATCACCATAAAATACGAGACAAAACTGTGTGCAAGTGCGTGCGACGACGTCGACGACGACGTACGGAATGCTATGGGACAGTGTGGTGTCTATTCTGCACAAAACGACGCGAAAAAAAAAGAGGTGGGACACCCGCCGACGTTTCTGTCGCACAGGCAATTGCGGGCCACGTTTTTTTTCTATGCCAGGCATGCGAGCGAGCAACGACCATGCAAAAACAATCCTTTCTTATTTTCTCCAGCCCCCGCGGTGAAACGAGACGACCGTCCGCGATTTTGGCGCCGAGCCGAACACGGAATAACGTAAGACACAGCCACACAATATACACAATCACACGAACAGGTCAGAACTGGGACGAGGGCGAGCGACGATTGCAGGAATACATGCGGCAAAGAGTTCCCATGACGCCGGTCAACGATAAATTCATCAGATTATCCTCGATAAAAGGGTCATTCAGATTAATGATACTAATATGAGTCACTCGTGCTGAGCCTGGCTTCAAAGCGTACGGATGAATGAAAGCGGCGAAAAAATGTACGCAGTAAAATTACACTCCACTGCGGAACAGATCGTAGATAAGTTTACCTTTTGTTCCTTTACCTGCCTTTTTAACATGAATCTAAGATTTTACTTTTTCAACGATCGCTTTTATTCTTCCTTTGATTAGCGTATCATTGATGCATACAATTCTGGCTTTTGTTGCAACCGCAAATTATTATGTCGTAATCCGAAATTTTATCGAGAAACCTGAATAGATAAAAACAAACAACATCAACATTTCACACTTAAAAGGTTCCTTTCGTAAAATTTATGTGCGTACGTCCTGATCCGAGAAAAGCTCGGGGAACTCGGATTCGTACTTTCACGAAGCTAAATCAAGTTCGTGGTACAACATTATAATATTTTTATTCGGTCATATTTTTTCATGGCTACGGACAGTGTACTGTAATAGGGAACATTAGTTGCTCTGGTGCCAGAGCAACCCTCCGTTGTTCATACTCAGAGTTAATGTGGGTTAAAAATATCAAGGATATTTTCTAGTCTTGTCTGGACAGTGCTTAGATTCCTCCTTGGACAATAAACAGATGTACATATTCCCATACAATAATAACCAAGAAGACAGCATCTTCTTCCTACAGTACATTACCATATTTATTCGAGCACCACGCGAATCACGTACCTGGGCTTTCCGGTCAAAAATTTTGATAAAATTGCATCCTCCGAGTACTACATGTACCTGATTTTTAGTGAATATTTTAATAAGGACCGCGAAATTCTGATTTAGACATGAATTACTTATTTTCGATTTTTCCCATCACGATAAGTTTTTCCGTTAAAATTGGTTCAAAATTTTCCATTTTCATAAAATGTAATGCACATATAGACTCGGAAATCTTTTTGAAAAATGTATACCCGTCCATGATTCGCACCGCCTTTTCTTTTCTAAATTTTAAGAAAAAGGTCCGTATGGAACTCAAGTAAACACGGTGCTGCGACATTCTCCCTGAAAATGGGTTTTTCTTGAAGCCTTAGCAGTACTGTTTATTACTGTACATCGTGCAGGAATCCAGCAGAACCTTAATAAATACTGTATGTACATCGCACAAAAACAGGAACGTCTATTCATGTTTCGTTGCAGCATTTAAAAAGTGGAAACAGTATTCATAGAGCAGTTTCAAGAGGCGCTCGGGCTTAGGATTTATTGTGCACTGGTCTCTTCACATGTAAACGTAAAAGACGGACGATAGCAACCAAGGATAGTAAGAAGCGAGGTTCGACCAGGAATCAAGAAACCATCCGCTGCATCTACTCGCAAAAGTCTCACGTCGATCGACACGCGCTGGTGAACTTGCACGACTAATCAACACAGGGTAGGGATTTCTTTGCAGCATGCCGAACGGGAAAACAGTCCCGCATACTCACTTGTCAGCAGCATCTGCCCTTCGTAATAAGGCAAGTACACATGCTGCGCGTGAGTCGGTTTCCCAAACGCGGAGTCCATTACATCCTCGCCTGTCGTTCGCGAAACAGAATTCCGATTCAGTCACAAAAAGGAATTCTTTCACTGATAAAAGGAGCCAGCCGTCGCTTCTCCAAAACTTTCAAATTAAAAACGTGAGAACACACGGGGGATTCCATGAACGCTAGACCGCAACTAACGAGCGTAGACACAACGGAGCAAACCGAGTTTGCATTCTCAACAGATTCCAACATTCATTGGAAAATAACTTGAATAGAATCATTTTACTCAGGAGCTCAATTACTCTAAGCTGTCAAAACCTTGAATACGAAGACTGCTTCATCGGTTTTGCTATTACACAGTAGCGAATTAAACTTTCCCAAAAAATAACTTGATACGGAGGGGGGATCAAATTTCGAGCACATTGCACAAGTCACGAGAAGAATCAAACCCACTGCAATTAGCTGTACTCGGGAAAATTCATACGCTACGATTCCTAATCAATACGAAATTTTTGAATACACTGTACATGAATCAGCAACAAAAAAAGCATTGATCACCTCGTAATGGCAAAAAAATTGAATCGATCAGCATTGATATTAACGGAAATGAAAGGCGAGTTCACCCCGGGATTGGAAATACTCATAAACCAAATGGCACAAGAATTTTAAATTTACCAACAAACATTCTCGGAGCTTCGCATTCTTTCTCGAATTAATTCTTCACGCACCAAAAACCGATCTGAGGCATGAAATGATCGCACCCAGACGCCTGGATTAGGAAAGTTACTTCTTGGAGTTTTACTTAGGAGACTTCATCGTGAAGCTTCCCAATTTAAGTGAAGTATACTAGATAAACAGAAGTAGACACCATGAACTAATAAAAGTTTTCAGTTCTGCGTTTTCCGATGCGTTTTCTAACAATTGACAGGCAAAATGAATCAAAATGTTCCTTACACTCCACAGATCGGAAAAATAATAATAACTGCAAAGAAAAACTTCTCACCGGCTTCATCCTCTTCGTCGGAAATGAAAGTTTCTTGCATTGTTTCCGGAGCAACTACGCGATATTTCTCTTCTGTGATAGTCGTCGTCGTTGTCGTTACTATTGTTTCTGTCACAACTTTCAAAGTTTCCACGACACTCACATAGCCCAGCTTCTGGGCAATGGATAACGCCGTTTGTCCTTGCTGCATAAATGAAAGAATTGATTAAGGAACTCAGCACTCGTTCACACATGAAAATGCAAATTTTTCGCTCGCAGCGCAAAAAATTTCCATTCGGAATTTTCCACTCAACCTTTTTTTAACTACTCCCAGAACTGAATAACCGGGAAAAAAATAATGACGTACGTTTGTGATTGCGTTCGGTGACGCTTTGTTCTCGAGAAGCAACGTGATTACAAGAGTATGTCCTTGTTGCGCGGCCTGATGCAATGGTGTATAGCCCAAAGACGTGGCGGTGTTCACTTCGGCTCCGTGGCTGAGCAAGAACCTCACCATGCCAACTTGTCCAAAATGACACGCCACATGGAGTGGCGTGTAGCCAGCCTACAATCAAAACAATCGCTTATAGTTTCAACGATTTCTGAACGCAACGACTTCGAAATTATCACCTTTGTCTTTTCGTTGATACTGGCACCAGCCTGCGCAAGAATCGTAGCGGCATTGACGGCGTCATACTGAGCACACAGATGCATTGCAGTTAATCCATTCTGAAAGAGTACAGATCGCTTTAATTCACGTCCTGTTATTTCAGAATTCTGAATTAGAATGTCTTTACTTCAATAAACAACAAAGCAGTGAAAATGGTATTGAAAATAAAATGTCGTTGAGAACTGTCTCATCGCACCGAGTTTCAAAAATTCGGACCTCTTCAACTCGAAACTCCTTTGGTCAAAAACCTAACTCGAAATTTATCCCTGTTCGCAGTCCCTGTTCGAAGTCCCTTTTAAACAATGTAACCTGAACCTCCTTCACCCAAAATTTTTCAACTGAGAACCTCCTTTACTCGAAAGTTTTGACGACAGGGAAGGACAGGAAATTCAAATGGTAATGCTTTTGGAATGGAAAATCCAAGTATTATTGGTCCGTAGAATCCTGGCTTGAGGTTCTGCATCGCGTAGAATCATTAATCCTTCCGTTTCCCGCAGTTAGTATTTTTATGTGGCGGGAATAATTAAGGAATGCTTTTGGACACACTGAACACAGTTACAGCAAAAACTTCAACCCCAATTACAGGGCTACTGAAACATCCTTCACAAGACGCTCAAAAAATTCTTCGTCAATTACGCAATGAACAAATAAACAGGAATCATTACTTTCTTTCACACACAAGAAGTAACAGTTCTGCTTTCTCATAAAATGCGAACATATTTTTGGTGTTTCAAATCGCCTCGTACAAAACCCGAATATGCCTCATTACCTTCAATACGTCTTGAAGTCAACAAATACATAAAAACATCCAAGAACTTTCATCTTTCCACACCATCAAAAAAACAGATGCGAGTCCAATAACGTTGCTTCAAACTCAGCATTAATTATACAGTACAGGAAATACGTTCGAAGACATTTGAATTATTCATCAGAGCTCTCTGCATTACATTCGCAGACGAAAAGATAACAAAAATAAACCATCATTTACAGTACTTTCAAAATTACAGGTTTGCGAGTACATTACAATGCAAAAATTTCCTCAGCCCAGAAATACTTTAAAAAGCAGATGCGCGAATCAAAGGATTGAAAGATGAAATTATTTTTTGCTTGCACAGACAAAATCACGACACGTGTCTTACATGAGAGCGCAATAGGCTCACAATAGGACAGGCGGGGAATCAAATTCGCAGCAATTCTCAATATAATGAAAGGGTAGGTAACGTTCAGTGCCTTTGATTAAGGATCGCATGCTCTCTCTCTCTACCTTGGCCTTGTAGTTGACCTCAGCTCCATGCTCAATCAGCAAGTGGCACATGTCCACGTGACCCTCCTGCGCACCGAGATGCAACGGCGTGAAACCCGCCTTGCTCTCAGTGTTAGTCTTCGCCTGGTACTCCAACAACATGTTCGCAATGTCCATTTGATTCTTCTTGGCAGCAATGTGCAAAGGTGTGTAGCCATTTTTGGCAGCTGCGTGCGGCGATGCACCGTTGTCCAGCAATAGCAGGGCCACATTCTGGTGGTCATAATGGCTCGCCACGTGCAGCGGGGTGACGCCGTTCTTGCCTTGCGCATCTACGGGGGCAGCACGGGAGAGCAGCAGCCGGGCCACTTTCAAATTCCCGTATTTGGCTGCCAGATGCAATGGGGTGAAGCCCTTCTTCGTCGTTGCTGTCACGGAAGCGTTCTCGTCCAGTAACACAGCTGCCACCTGGAGGTATCCATAACTGCATGCTTAAATCCACGTCAAAAAGGCTCGAGCCTACACCGAATCTCTTAGGGCACACGAAACTCAAGTAACGCAAAAACATGAAACACGTCCTCAAAAATCGGTTTTAGTCGGTGCAAAAATTACGTTATGCTGCAGGCATTGAGAAATTACGTTGAAGTTTTGAGATTTCGCAATACCGTTGTTGTTCTGAATCATTGCTCGTGATCAAAAGAAACACTTCGCGGTCACAATTCTCCTGGCATTGTTTTACTCGATCAGCGAACAAAACATGTGTACCGTACTATACGATAGTATTTCATATTTTCCTAATTATTTGCGGCTCGCAACATTTACTTCAGAAATTGGAAAAATGTTTTTATTGGTGGGAAAAAATAGGCTGATCATGAATAAATTCGTTTCTGCAGTCCTCCACGAAAAACCTAATCCCGAAAACATGATTTTTTCCGTAAGCGGCATGATGCAAATCTCTAGTACTGTAATAATACAGATAGTTTACTATAAGTAATACAGATAAGTCTCTCTCTCTCTACAACAACTTTTTTCTGATCCCTTGCATTTCGTTTTAGTGAGAATTCATCCGCATTGAAGTACATGGCCAAGTTCCAATCAAGCCTGCGACATTGCTCTATCAAACCGAAAAATACCTGATTTCACGAAGTAGAAAAGAAACGAGAGGATTTGATTTTTGTTGGTACCTACCAACAGAATCACAATAATAATCATAATAATGCCAACAATAACTGTTGATAAAGCCGCTGATGCAGGTTTGATTATGGACGATCTGCGAGTGCATTTGTTAGGAACACTCGGTGCGTAATGTTTTCTGCACACTTCAGACGTCATCATTCAACCTTACAACCAACGGGAAAATATATCACGCACCTGATTCGTTCCTCAATTGGAAACGCATACGATTAATTCGTCTAATTTACCCCTCCATTTACCTTAGCTTCAGTTCTTGCGTAAATTTTTCAAACCATGAATAATAACAGAACATTTAAAAAATTTATATTCCCCCATAATGAGCTCGACGAAAGGGGAGAACCAAGAGAATCTCGACCGCGAACTTCTGTCCAACCCTATACGCATGTGAGAATACGATACAGTATTTCGAAAACGAGTTATCAGGAAGCAAGGCGCAGAAAAACCAGACAGCAGAGAAGCATAAATAAATAAATGGGTAAGCAGCGTTTTTTTCGGTTGGCATTTAGCGGGAAATGTCTCGAAACCGTCCCTCAATCCCCTCCTCAAGTCAGGTAGCCGGAATCCGGGGCGACACTCAGCGGCCTTCAACATCTGGTAGACAATCACCCGAAAGTCGACTGCTTTCCGCCCCCAGATTCCCGCCACGCACAACCCAGTCGGGGAGCAAGGGAGAAGAGCAGCAGAGGTGTATTCCCCACCAGATGCTTACAACAGACGGAACGCAACCAGGGATCAAGCCAAGCAACGGCCGAGAGAGAAAATGAAGGTCCAGAGAGTGCACGTCCCGGATTGCAACACCAGTCTTTTATTCCAACCCAAGGAAGCCCACCAGTGAAAATCAGGAAACGAAAACAAAGCAGGAAAGGAGCAAGTGTGAACATGAACCCGACTACAGAATCAGCTGCCTTCACCAAGCGCACAGAAACAAAATAAATCGGCTGAGAGAAAAAAAAAAGATAAGACACAAAGATAATCGTCACAAAACGACAACTCAAAGAGTACAACGCCAAAGAAGGAAGAGAAAAACCGTGAGAATCCGCCACCTGACACCGAAATGAAAAGAATCCAATGCCACACCTGTTGGGTCAGCTATAAGTGCGACCCACCAAATAAAACGGACGACCTTTACCGTGAGGATGCAAAGAACAAAATAAAAAGATAAAGAGAGAGAGAAAATCTCTCCTGCCAAACCTAAATCAAAGACCCAGCCGCACCAAACTCGGCTCAACCTTTCACCGCAGTGAACCAGTGAACCTACTTTCTTATAGAATACATTATTATAAGTGAGGGGGACCACGGGGCTGCCATCGCGGTTCATCTTGATTTTTTTTTTTTTATTTCGTGTCGTTGACCATGCTGACACAACATTGAGTCACCATCATCGTCTCGGTAACTCACCACCAGAATGTTTTCCTCGAAAAACTTTTCTTGTCTTAGTACACTTCGAGGAGGGTAACTTCTTTCCAGATAAAATTACCTGCCTCTTTTATTATTGAAAAGATTTAAACCGACGAATCACTTCACACACACCCTAGATTTTCTGAACTCGGCAATAACAAATAAACCGTTCATTACATGGTTTTCACGAATCAGATAACTCTCGAAGGTACGCTGTGCAGCTCAATTAACAACGATAATTTCTACATTCAAAGCAATCTTACAGAAAAAATTCCAAGTTGTTTGTATAGGAATTTTCAAATAAAATCGCTTGTCACACCTATCATGGCACCCAGATTAAACGTAATTTTGACGAATTAATCCAACACAACGAAAAAATGAAGAAAAGGACTTACAAGCGTTCCCGCTAATGAATGCTACAATACAGTGCGAGTATACCATTAAGTCGTACAAATGGTTCTTCACAAATAAGGAACTACGAACTCCAAGAGGAAAAAATTACTGTACCTCATGATCCACGCTATCAAGATGTTCGTTAAGCTAAAATATTAGCACCTACATGGAATGGCCTGTTCTTCAACGGGCTAACGAACAACGGGGATTCGAAAGAGCCAGCAATTGATGAATTGCAAAGCAGACCCGTGGCAGTAGAGAACTGGTAAATAAGGGTGGGGGGGGGGGGGGGGGGGAAGATCAATTGTGTTTTTCGAATTATAGCAGCGTTTCAGTACCACCAGGCAAATCGATGCCTTGCAGCGTCGCGCGCTTCTTTATGAGCTGCGTCTGACTTTCGGCCCAAGACTCGACATAGTCTTTGATTTTCTGCAATAAGAGCCTTCGTTGCTGCGGAGTAAGGATTACCTCCTCCTGTCCTTCTTTGGCTGCGATGTGCAGAGCAGTGTACATGTCCTTTGTTATGGCGTCCACTGACGCACCGTGCTGCAACAACAGCACGACAATGTCAACGTTTCCGAGTCGGGCGGCGATGTGCAGCGGTGTTTGCTGTTCCTGAAACGATAGGCAACGATTTCGTCACACCTCAAGTCAATTGCGATGTACTGTACAGTAATGTACAGCCATCTCATGAATACATCAGGGTTTATTACAATCATTTCGAAATTTCAGAAATATAAGTCGACTCCCTCTACAACGATTTTCTCCTCAAAAATAATTTTATCTTGGTCACATAGGGTTCTCTCCCAATTTTATAGGCGTTCTCTACAACGGATTTTTTCTTTCTCGTCCCTTGAATTTCGTTTTAGAGAGTTCACAGGTATTTCTGTTCCTATTAAGCAGCGTTAAAAACTCAAAGTCATGATCGTACGACAGGTAATATCAGCGCGGAATGCGCCAGAGCATAAAAAAAACGAAGTCGAATGTCCAATAATTATACACTGTTCACAACGAGTTTCTCTTGAAACGCTTCCTATGCAGTCAGATTGCATATTTTACACATTTTAGGGTACAGTACACAGAATCCATCAAGACGGGACGGGGAGTACTGAAGATTAACACGATTGAAGTTCGACCAGCTCGGAGCATGAAAAATAAAATTGGTACAACGGTGACATAATTGATTCCTTCTCGGTCAAACAATGTTAGCAAAAAGCTTCAATCAATTTAAATTTTGCTACATCTGAGCATCGCAACATTTTGTATAACAGTAGTTCTTTTTGCTGTACTTCGCGCAGAAACTGGATAACGTTCATCGTTCGCAAATCATAACACTTCGACGAACTTTCCTCTCGCTACAAAACGAACAAATATTTTTGCACTGCGAAGTCCTCTTTCAATGATACCTACAGATTTCCTCGGTTCTGGCATAAGGTTTCATCCTCGCACATAACGAAACCTCTGACAAGCCTCTTGGGATACTTGAAATTTTCTCAACACATACGTTAGTACTGTACTTGTCCCTTTTCCCGCCGAATACATCGGAATTTACGAAAGAAAAATACCAAACGCTTTGCAAGCCGTTTCAAAAATCACGACTCGCGATAAAAACAAAAAATGTAAACCGTGTATACAGTATAAACAGTACGTATATACAGTATAAAATTACAGTACTGACCCTCGCTCGCGCATCAACCTGGGCGCCGTTCCTGAGAAGGATACGGATGATGTCGGTTTGATTCGCTCGAGCTGCAAGATGAAGTGGTGTTTCCCCGCGGACTGTCGGGACATCCGGATTGCTGCCACGTTGTATCAGATAAATCACGATGTTCATGCATCCCATAAACGCTGCCACGTGCAAAGGAGTCAGTCCACTCTGCCACGAAGAGACGAAAAAACCAACATTAGTACGTTTGAACTTCCGAGACCGAGGTGTCCAACCTCACGTGATACACGCGCGCTTCTTATCGCTCAATTTCATTCATATTCTGAGTTTGATCACGTTTGAAAACACACGACTCGATGGAGTAATGCGCGCATTTGCTCAACAATTGAACACAGTCTTTAGAACGTTTAGAATATTTCCGACGCGCATTATGATTTTGTACTTCTCCACAGCAACTTGCATTGCTCCATCATGCATTCCTGGTTTACTTCTACGGCCTGCACGTGTTCAAATTCATAAATCATTGCTGTTCTGGACTTCGATTGGAATAATGTTGTGGGAAATACAAAGTACTTTATGTAAATACTGTATATATTTCGCAAGAGGAATACATTACAGACAACCCACCAATAAAGATCTTCTCTAAATAAATTAGTCATACTCGATTTGATTTGAAGAAAGAGGTTTTAGAACCGGAAAGACATTATATTTCGAAAAAGTATTGCAGGATAGAATAAAAACACACAGATGACGCGCCAAATAATTAAGTTCAAGTTGCTGCAGTGCCCCATCGGTCATCACCGTCACGATTTACCACGTAAAAGCTTTTACTGTAGCCTCAACTGCTACCAAACCCCGGAAGTACGACTTGAAAAGTGAAAGAAATTAGCAAAGAATCGGAACACGAAATGTTTTTCAAGTACAGTACAGTACAAGATTCATGAAACTTCTCTGATGTTGAAGTACAGATTTATTGAATTATGGATTTCCCACGAACAGACTGCCTCAAGACACTTCTAATTTGGAAGAAAGATAGAACCTCGACAGAATTAAAACTACAACATTTAGAAAATCAAAAAAAGACTAAGGTGATTTAAAATTAGCTTTTCTTTCTTCTGGTATTCTTGACGATGATATTCTTGACGACAGAGGATGACAAACCTCAGTGGTGGCTTCAATCGAGGCGCCGTGTTTCAACAGCAGTTCGACGACCTTCATTCGATTCTTTTTACATGCAATGTGTAATGGCGTGAATCCATTGAGAGCTCGAGAATTCGGATCGGCTTTTCGCTCCAGTAGGAGTGTCGCTACTCGCACGTGACCACAGTGGGCAGCTACATGTAATGCGGTCAGATAGTCGATGGTCACTTCATCGACGGGGGCCTTGTGATAGAGGAGAATGCGCGCGGAATCGACGTGATCGCCTTGCGATGCCATGTGCAGTGGCGTCAATCCATTCTGCAAGATGAAGAAGAAGAAAAAACACACGCACCATCTCAATGCCTTTCCACCATAAGAGCCGAATTTCATTTTGGGAGCAATACTCTGAAAGATTGCACAATTTATTTTACACTTTCACCAATTCATTGTGTCCAGAACACTTATAATTGTACATCGAAAAATCATGATCACCGAAACGATGCTCAAAATTTAAACAAATAGCGGACTGTGACATGAAGATTCAGACGCTTGAGTGCAATAATTATGCAAAGGCTGCTTCAATCGGTGCGCAAAAATTCCCTTCTCAAGAATGAAGCAAGCGAATTATCGCACTTGACGGGGCTAAATTATGGATTTTTCAAACGTCTTCTTTCAATTGACATCGGTAATTTAAAGGCACGAATCTAAATGAGCACATCTACCGTATTTACTCGAGTACCCTCGAGTAAGACGCGCACCTCTTTTTTTTGGTAGAGAATTTGCACGAAAATCTATCCCCGGGTATGACACGCACTCGAGTTTTTGCTGGTTTAAAATATGTCTTCCTTCTACATATAATGGTGTTTAACTTAATAATCATGTGAAAAATCGGAATAACTTGGATAATTGTAACAGGATACCGTACCATTCAGAATATCCTGTTCACAATTTTCTCCTACAAAGACTTCCTTGACTAGCACCACTAATTTCCTGGTTTTCGGTTTTCAAAAAATCCACACCCGATAACCACGCGCACCTCACTACAGTTTTCTGCCTTCATTTTGCAGAAAAAAGGTGCGCGTGGTACTCGGGTAAATATATTTGTTCGAATGAACGCATACTGCTATCAAAATATTTCAGAGCGAGATTGGCGACAATAAAGCTAACCAAGTTGAGCGAAAGATGCCACAGAAAACACTTATTTTAAACGAAGATTTCGAAAAATACCTCTGTACAATAAATAAATGGACGTTCATTTCCAGTCATGAAGGTGATCATTAAAATAAATCGGTTGAAGCATTTCCAAATATATAAACGAGTTCCTGCTCAGCAGATTTGCTCATCAAAAGCGAAAGAATTCCAAGGTTCTTTTTTAGTACGGGCATGTGAATACTTGGATCAGGGTTTTCACAGGAACGACGAGAATATCACAGTTATTCGCTGATTGATTCATTCAAGGATTTCTTCAAGGGAAGTTTACACTTCCAGGTAAAATTAGAAAGATCCGCAAACCAAAATGTCGGGAAAATCTTAAATTCGTCATTACAGTACGGTATTCTTTATCAGAAGCTTCGTCACATGCCCAAAAACGATCGCTCAATTTCCCTTTTCTTCGTCCTTGACATGTGCTCAAGACAATCACGGTACGTGCATGAAATAAACCTTCTCCGACGGACTCATAAATTTTCCTTGGGATCATAATTCCATGCTTTGTATGCAAATTAGGAAATTTCAGCTCAACCTAATTACTTTTTTATTCAATCTTATCGCTCGGACACCCGGTTATCGCTCGCGATTCAACTGAGAAGCAATAACCCACACTTGACCACTGAATAATGGGCGATAAACGTAGAGGAAGAAGAAATCGAACGGAACTTACTTTGCTTTTCGACGAAATAGGTGCACCTCGCTCGAGCAGATAATCCACAACTGAATCATGGCCAGAGCGAGCAGCACAATGCAAAGGCGTCAGTCCGTCTCTAGTTTTTGCTTCAATGTCTGCCCCGTGCTCCACAAGCAACGTCACGGTGTTCAGTTTACCCCATTTCGAAGCAACGTGCAATGGCGTGATTTGATGCTAGAATGAACACATTTTTGAAAAGCTGCAATGTACGTCTTCAAACAAGGTACAGTAGCTTGTTTCCATCTCGACTCGGAGAATGATAACTTGAGTAGAAAACACTTTTCTTCACTCGCATTGCGATTCTTTTCGATAGCGATGTGCGCGAGAAAGGAAAACAAAATGACTGAAGATGACTTTCAGTGATGACTGAAAGAGTCTCATTTAATTGCATTTCGTTCATTTACGTAATTTGGCACCATCCAATTAAAAATACAGTTGACACTCGAAACTCTCAAATTAATTACAGTATTATACCTCCGTACATCAATTTTTTTTTTCAAATTTCGTCTAAATTTCCTTGAAAACAATGCGTTAAAAACCACCCGACCTCAAAGGCTTGCAATAAGAATGCAACTTCAAGTTTTTGAAAGGAAGTGAAAGACTATTTGGGGAAATGAACATTTGCCTTCAAATTCAGCATCCTTTCAAATTGTTTAAAAACAATTGAAGGTCTAGAATATCACCGATTACAATTTCCGATAATTCTTCTATTTTTTCTCTCAACAAAATTGCTTGTTTCCTTCACTCAAGGTCTTTCTAACTCAAATTTTTATTTGCTGTACTCAAGAACTTCGACTGTAGTGTACCTTCGCAGCGTAGTTGACATCGGCATTCTTTTGGATCAGCAACTTCCCGATGTTTTCATTTCCGTAATGGGCTGCGATGTGCAGTGGGGTGAACCCGCTCTTGCTCGTGACATCCGGATTGTGGTCGTTCTGCACAAGGAAAAAATTGCAGATTTCGCCAAAAATTAGCGAGCATTCTTTGAATATCCTCCCGACAAACGTTCATTCACCGAAAGTAATAACGCAGCAGCCTTGGTGTCGTCTTTCTTCGCAGCAATGTGTAGCGCGGGGAGTCGAACTTTTCCTTTCGTGTCATTTTCCAATAACACTGCAACCACCTTATCGTGCTCTTGTTGCAGTGCGACGGCAAGCGGAGTGAATCCATCCTGTTATTAAAAAATTGATTCGACTTTTATGCGAAAGAATTTACTGAACTGTCTTTTGAATAAGAAGTGAATACGGTGAGCGAAACAAAAAGTTCTCCTGCGAAATTATCTTGATACAGTACATGATTCTTTTTTTACTCGAGCTTATCAGCTCACAATGCATCGAAATACAGTATAGTACTGTACTCGTATGAACAATGCTCCGCAGTTGGAAAATGTTTGTACAGCATAGAAAACAGTTGAATTTTACAGCACATGAGAATTAACGCCCATATTTTTCGTGATCAAAAAAATACGAAGGACGCGAATAGGGACGGGATGGTACACACGCACAAACCCCAAAACGGCTGTGAGTACTGTAAATGTATTCGTCACTCTTTCACATGACGCGCAACAAACTCCTGTACGGGTTCGGAGAATTAGGTAATCGGGCATAAAGAAATCTCGCAACTGTCAGTTGAGAACACGCGTAAATATGCTCAACTCAACTACGCAAGAACAGGTCCCCAAAGAAAAGAGACCCGACTGGGGACGAAATAGTAAAGGGACCCGCGACAAAAAGTTCCCGGGGGATAGGCGCGTCAACGGAACCATGGGTGAGGGAGTAAAGGTCAGTATTATTTTATTGGTGTTTTAACTGCTTATATTCACTGTCGACAGAAAAAACCATTGCCGACTGATGAGTTTATTTTTATGAAAATTTATCACCCGTCATTTCAAGGTTTTTTTGAAGCAACCCTGCAACAGAAACACAATATTCCAGACGATGTTTTCAAGGGATGCAACATTCCAAAATAATATTTCCAAGGAATACACAACAGTACAGTAAAATTTCATTACAAAAAACTTTTGGGGACTTGAGAAAACGTTTTTTTCCACTGGATCATTTGCTATAACGAGATTTTTAAAATTAATGACTGGAAAAATGTTCACTTAAACATGAGTACAGTATAATCAAATATATCTTGCTTTTCCGGCATCATCTTTTATTTTATTACTGATGGAAAAACAGTGATTTTCTGATAAAATTAATTTTTAATCATGCATTCCACCAGTTGTGCCAATCTAATTTAATAATGGGAGGATGTGGGGAACCACTTGAATCTTGGATGTATGTTAGTAATTGATTACAGCTCCCATACATGCTAAAAGAACCGGTCGATCACATTTGAGATCTAAAATTTCGGACTACGCCTGTTTCAGTGCGTAATTTTGTTTACCTTGAGAATCTATTAAACATTCCTCAAAAGAGTAGTTCGCACTGGAATTGGGAAGTGTAAAATTGTGAGATTGTTTCAACATGTACTTCATGGGCTTTCTGCAGGGACTCGAGATAAAGTTATATGCTAAAAACTTTGTTTTCACAAGATTTTACGGCATTTCTAAAAATTTAAAGCTTGAGCGGTCCAATAAAAACCTGATATGGGCGTCAACTGACCTATCAATCCCTCACCTGTCGGGTCCCACAGCCCCACTTACCCATGAGGATTTTTTTTTGTCGCGGGTTCTTTTTCTAACCAGTCCCCGGGTACCTTTTCGTTGTGTACTTATCTTCCGGGAGCTGCTCAACTCTCCACGAAGGGGCTGAGACGCAAGAGATTATGATCTTCTTCCCGACTTATTTTTTTTTCAGTTCAGACACTTCGCAAATCGGACCAACCCTCTATCTTTATACTGTTCAGTGACAGTGAAAACGGGTACAATACGTTCAATTTCCCATCATCGCACGAATCAGGACACTAGTCTTTCAAATAAACATGCTCTCGTCCGTAGCGAAGGAGATCCTTTCCAGTCCGGTATCAAGAATTCTCGACAGATGCCCGGTCAGGAAAAATGCCTTCGCGATCAATAGAGACGCGAGGAAACGTACCTCCGTGCCGATGCTTTGATTGGCACCCGATGCGAGCAGAAATCGCACCACTTGGTCGTGATTCTCTTGCGCTGCCATGTAAAGTGGGGTGAAGCCATTTTGCGATTGCATGTTAACAGCTGCCCCATACTGGATGAGCAACTTGACGACCTCCAGCTGGCCCCCCAAAGATGCGATGTGCAGGGCAGTATTGCCCTTTTTCGTCGCCGTGTTCACATTTGCACCACGCTTCAGCAGTTCCTTCACGATGTCTACATGGCCCTCTTTCGACGCCAAGTGCAACGCGTTCAGTCCAATCTGCAGAAAGAATATTGAAATACTCAATAAATAAAATACGGGTGAACCTTTTGATAAATCAAACCTCATAAAGTCAAATACCTCCCTGTGTCCAATATATTTCCGAGTTCCTGTCTGAATTCCCGTAGAAACAATACGTTAAAAACCTCCCTGCTTCAAATAATTTCCTTTTTCATCCTCCATCAATCGAATTTCCTGGAGGCATTTTGGCAAACGTTTCATTGACACAGAGTAGAGAAACGCTATGAAAATTCCATGGTGAGTTTGGAAAAGAAGTGGAGAACGAATTGGGCAAATGAACACTTACCTCCAAGTTCAGCATCCCGTCAACTCATTTATGAATCAATTCAGGACCTAGAATATGACCAATTACTATTTTCGTATTTTGTTCTGCTTCCCCCAACACAATTGCATGTTTCACTAACTCAAAACCTCCCTCAGTCGAATATGTATTTACTAGCCTCTTGAAATTTGACTTGAAGAGGTTCGACGGTACCATTATTGATTTTTAAAATTCCATTCAAGGATTTGGATTCCATGCTTCTCCATCGAAGTCCCGTGATTCAAAGCATTGCTCGAAGTATTGTATGGACAAATATTCCTATACCGGCTAAGCCCCATGTTTACACGCGGTCCTGAATCAATGTCCAGATCGAAGTTAGATAACGTGCGCCGAATTATGCAGAAAGTTCTGCGGAAAAAAGACAAAAATTCGTCCAACCAATTCGTTCACATACCAAATAAAAATGTAATGTATAAGTTTTGTCAGTAACTCAAAATAATGCACAACATTATGCCCCGACATGTAGTAAAACACGTGTTGGAAGACGATTCCTCAGAATCAAAATCAGCCACACCATGTGGCCGGCAAAAAAGCCTCAATTCACAGAATAAGCAAAAACGTTACGCTACACGTACCGCTAAAATATTTATTCCAGCGATTATAGACGCGGGAAAATTTGCATGGTCTACAATCTACATGAAGAAATAAAAATAAAATAAAGAACTTTACTGCACAGCTCGTAAAATGCAAACACCTGGGCGACTCACGACTTTTATCGCAGAGATCGTGACTGGATCCCATCACAAAATCTGCCATTCTGGGCGTCACCCCAGTTTATCCGCAAGTTAGTCTGATCACCACCCAAAAACGAAACGACCAACCCCCTTTTTCGCACCACAATAATTTGATTTAAAATTATTTTACCAGACACGAAAACGCATTGGCTTCCGGTTATTTCCTACGGTTTTGGCAATGCGTAGAACATGACGCAATAAAACGTTATCAAAAATACATTTTTCTGCGTCGAAGAAACGGGTGCGCCGTTGACACAGCCGGGTTTTACCGCTCATTCAGGCAACCGACGACATTTAATCTAGACATTAAAGACGAAGAAAAACATGTCACTGCTCGAGACTGCCATCAACAAACGGCTTCGTCGTCTCGTTCATGGATATAATATTATTGGGTCGAAGGGATTGAATTACCACCGGAAGTGCGCGATTCGTCAAGACGCCTATCATGTATTTTCGGAGCAAAACAAAACCGCGAACACACATCTAGACTTCAAACTTGCGATGGGCTAAATAATGAATTAAAAGCGGGGCATCGCGGTGCCAATGCTGAACTTGAAAGGGTTCTCAGCTCGTATGTCAAGGCATGGAAAGATCGGCAAGAGCTTCCGGATCTAATTATTTATTATTTTTTGGATAGGCGTCGTTAGATTTCGACACGATTCAAAAACACGAAGAACTAAAAAAAATTGACAAATGAAGGTTCAGTGCAAAGGGTTTCCCAGTTAGACATTTAAAATCTTTAAAAACGTACTGGTTTCAGGAAATTGGCCATGGTCTCACTGGAAACTCAAATTCAAGAGGCTTTCGACTTGAAAATATTCAACTCGCCAAGTTCAAGTGTATGTAGTTCACAATTTTTAGCACGAGACGACAGCTTTAGGCGGGAATTTTCTTGCGGGAGAGCTGATGGAATAATTTTACAAATCCATAAACCTAAAAAATCCGCGTGGTTTCGCAACGTGTCGTGTTTCATTCTGTGGGAACCCACACATTTTCATTTCTGGCGGAAAAAAATCTGAAAGGTAATTTTCTATAATTTTATATTAAAAAAGANTCCATTCAAGGATTTGGATTCCATGCTTCTCCATCGAAGTCCCGTGATTCAAAGCATTGCTCGAAGTATTGTATGGACAAATATTCCTATACCGGCTAAGCCCCATGTTTACACGCGGTCCTGAATCAATGTCCAGATCGAAGTTAGATAACGTGCGCCGAATTATGCAGAAAGTTCTGCGGAAAAAAGACAAAAATTCGTCCAACCAATTCGTTCACATACCAAATAAAAATGTAATGTATAAGTTTTGTCAGTAACTCAAAATAATGCACAACATTATGCCCCGACATGTAGTAAAACACGTGTTGGGAGACGATTCCTCAGAATCAAAATCAGCCACACCATGTGGCCGGCAAAAAAGCCTCAATTCACAGAATAAGCAAAAACGTTACGCTACACGTACCGCTAAAATATTTATTCCAGCGATTATAGACGCGGGAAAATTTGCATGGTCTACAATCTACATGAAGAAATAAAAATAAAATAAAGAACTTTACTGCACAGCTCGTAAAATGCCAACACCTGGGCGACTCACGACTTTTATCGCAGAGATCGTGACTGGATTCCATCGCAAAATCTGCCATTCTGGGCGTCACCCCAGTTTATCCGCAAGTTAGTCTGATCACCACCCAAAAACGAAATGACCAACCCCAGGCTTTTTTCCCACAACAATAATTTGATTTAAAATTATTTTAGTAAACACGAAAACGCATTGGCTTCCGGTTATTTCCTACGGTTTGGGCGATGCGTAGAACATGACGCAATAAAACGTTATCAAAAAATACCGTTTTTCTGCGTGGAAGAAACGGGTGCGCCGTTGACACAGCCGGGTTTTACCGCTCATTCAGGCAACCGACGACATTTAATCTAGACATTAAAGACGAAGAAAAACATGTCACTGCTCGAGACTGCAATCAACAAACGGCTTCGTCGTCTCGTTCATGGATACAATATTATTGGGTCGAAGGAATTGAATTACCACCGGAAGTGCGCGATTCGTCAAGACGCCTATCATGTATTTTCGGAGCAAAACAAAATCGCGAACACACATCTAGAGTTCAAACTTGCGATGGACTAAATAATGAATTAAAAGCGGGGCATCGCGGTGCCAATGCTGAACTTGAAAGGGTTCTCAGCTCGTATGTCAAGGCATGGAAAGATCGGCAAGAGCTTCCGGATCTAATTATTAATTATTATTTTTTGGATAGGCGTCGTTAGATTTCGACACGATTCAAAAACACGAAGATAATTTGACAAATGCAGGTTTAGTGCAAAGGGGTTCCCAGTTAGACATTTAAAATCTTTAAAAACGTACTGGTTTCAGGAAATTAGCCAGGGTCTCACTGGAAACTCAAATTCAAGAGGCTTTCGACTAGAAAAGATTCAACTCGCCAAGTTCAAGTGTATATATTTCACAATTTTTAGCACGAGACAACAGCTTTAGGCGGGAATTTTCTTGCGGGAGAGCTGATGGAATAATTTTACAAATTCATAAACCTAAAAAATCCGCGTGGTTTCGCAACGTGTCGTGTTTCATTCTGTGGGAACCCACACATTTTCATTTCTGGCGGAAAAAAATCTGAAAGGTAATTTTCTATAATTTTATATTAAAAAAGATGAATCCTAATCCAAGCATATGAATATTGTACTTTTTACGGAAGTTATCTTGAAATTCAGAAATGATTCGATGAGCAGTTGATGCTGTGCAGTACAGTATTTTACTTACTTGTAAAAGGCAACAGAAAAAAAACGGTTACGCTTTCGTCTTCTGGAGAGGATCCTCTAATTCAATTTTTGAAAAGAGGACTTTCAAAAAACTGACGAAGACATCGATCTTTTCGCAGATACCTACCTTGCCGACTCTTTCCTAATCAATATATTCATTTTTTGGCCCTCGTCGGGAAAATCGCCGCGAATAATTTCCATCAAAAACTTGAGAGTCTACCTAGCAATACAGCACTTGCAATATGCGTAGAAAACCCTTTTCTTTTAGTTTTCAACGCGTTCCATAGGAATAGAATGGTACTGTGTTCTGGTAGTACAGTACCGTATTTACTAGAGTATAATGTGCCTGCAATCAAGACACACAAGCCATTTGTGGTGTGGGAAATTCGTCCAGAACCCTATGATGCGGGCGCATAAGTCCCGCACCCCCTTTCTTTCTTAAAATAAAAAAATTGTGAAATCGCTTTTGCATGGGGATTCATTTTTCCCCGACTGATAATTTGTCTTTTTTTTTAGTGTCTGAAGGAGCATCTAACATGTACTTGCAAGATACGGCAGCTTCCTCAATTAGATTATTTCTTCCCTTCCTTCACTTCCTGTTGCAACTCCAACTGAAATGCTCATAAAATTGTTATTGCGTGAACATATATACTGTACATGTATATAAGTTGTCATGGTCAAGGAGACTTGGCGCCACATCTTTTCTCATAATTTTTCTTTCTTTTTACCCAGACCTACTCACATCACATGTGATTTTTCACCGTTTTTTGGGGGATTTTCCCTTGAAAAATTTACCAAGAGATACCACTCGTGGTAATCCAGGAAATACGGTACGTACTTGAAACAGGTGCCAATAAAATAGCCAGTCAATTTTCATAGGACTAAACATACGATTCATCGGGTTATTCGCAAGGTCTGCGAAAAAGTATCATCGTATACTGTACTGCATTTTCTTCAAAAAGACGAACACGAAAACTGATGGGACGTGACATTAATTATGCATTCCACGGGGCAAAAAATTACAATTTTACAAACTTTAAGGCTCATGAATTTCGGTAATTGTATAATCTTTTCAACAACAACAAAAGTAGTTCGGACGATGAATATCCGAAAATCTGATCAAGGCAGGAAACTTGGAAAAAAA